ACAATTTTAAAATAAAATAAAGATTACTCTCGAACAATTTTGTTATCATGTGATATCATATATGCTAGCCATGCATATAAATCCTCTTTAATTTAAACAGATTCTATTTACTGTTTATAAAAATCTAAACTTTTTTTTTTTTGCAAACTAATATTTTTAAAAGGAGTTAGGTTATTATTCAATTAGCCAACGCTTTAAGTTTATTGCCTGTCGTGTGCCATTCACAAACCCACTCGAATCTCATTAGGCACTGCCTAAATAAATATTGAACGAGATATTTAGTTAACTGATTTCCTTGGCCCGCCTCGAAAGCGTTTGCCAGCCACGCGACAAAGGCAAACACGACCATTTTTTAATAAACTTCCTGCCAAACGCGGGCCAAGGCAGAAAGGATGCGAAGGACCCACACCAGAGCAACCCCTTTTTTTTTTTTTTTTTTTTGGTTGTCGAGTGTGGATTTGTTGGATAAGAAATCACTTCATCTTTTTGGGCCCGGCGACAGTCAATATGGCAGCAGCCCAGACAGAAACCCCTATTTGTATATCGAGGCAAGCGTGTAAATCCTTTTCTAGCAACCCCCAACTCCGGTTCCCTTTCCTTCCCTTTCCTGCCAAAGTTTGTCGTGCTCTGATTCGTTCAGCAAGGCACGAATCTCTAAAAAATGATAAGAGTTGGGGAAGAAAAAGGGTTTATGCCATCAATTCACACATAGTTATGTCATATGGTCCTCGCTCCGGTGGTTGGTTTTGGTTTTGGTCTTGTTCTGGTTCTAGTTCCTGTTGTTTGCTGTTTTCTGGCCCCGATGTGGGCAGTGGAAGTATTTTATGTTGTCCCAGTTGTGTCCTTTTGAAATCGCTTAAGTAAGTCAAGTCTTTAAGGGAGATATCTCTTAATGGAAGTGTGCCAATGAATTAGGTAAATGAAGGTGTTCGGGAATGGCAAATAGACAAACGTTCAAGACCTTTTTTAATGCTTGAAAGGGGTAAAGTTGAAAGTAAAAATTTTTTATGGTAAACAGAATGCTTTTGTGACCAGCTGCTCGGATAATATACATAAGTTAATTAATTTTTAAGCATATCTACCTTCGAACACAAGAATCGGCGCTTGACTTTAAATTATATTGCGGAATATTGAAGCATTATCCGTTCAATAATATATATTATATATTTTAACATTTATATATTTATTATTTGTTCTCAAACATGATATAACTTTAAAATTTCATTTGCTGACTGGTTAGAAACAAATTTGAATTTGGCAACTGACTTTTTTTCTAAGCTGCGTTTTCGTAAATACATTTACATTACATTTTTCTTTTTAATAAAAATTTGCAAATAATTTTGTAAGTAAATATAGTAGTTTTTGGTTCAAAAAAATTTATTTGAAAACAAGAAATTGTATTTAAAAGTGTACGCCACCTTGATGAGAATACATTTTTGATATTGATTAGTTTCTATGACCATTTTTTGTAGTGTATACATACAAGCCGTACTTACTTTGAGTTTTCTATGAAGCACTTGCATTTCTGAGCCATTTTCGGTATGTTTACAGTCTTTCAATAGTTGTTGAAAACCAATTCAAAATCTTTGACGTCGTATTCTCTCACCATATTCGCTTAAAACTCGACGGCTTACTTGCCCGCAGCTGTCCAGAGTTGCGAATAAATTTTTAATCTGGCCAGAAGTAAAATCTCGACCAGAATGCTTACCCTATTTAATTTGCAGGCCAGTCGCCCACTCGAACACACATCAAACGGAGGCCAAAGGAAAAGCAAAAGCCCATCGATTCCAGCACTCACACTTAATTGGCGAGCACTCGAATCCTCGACTGGTGGTTTTGGGACTCTTTGAATGTTATCAGTCCTGTGCAGACGACGTCTGTCCATTCCAAATACACAAAAAAAAAAAAAAAAATCAGAAAAAAGAATGGAAACGGACGCAAAATGGCTTTGAGCAATTTCGGTTTTCAATAGGGGAAACTTCAATTGCATTGGTCATATTCAAAGTGCCTTAACCCTGAGTCGGTCCAAATGGGCTGATAAGCCCCGTAGGCTTTTCTGGGGGGTTTCCCGGTGGTTGGAGATCATCAGACCGAGATTCCATTCAGGTTTCCTTTGATAGATTTCTTTTAGCCGACAGGCAAACACTTGCTGCATTTGCAAATTAAATTTTCTCTCCTAGAAATATTTCGTTTTCATTTCGCCCCGCTTCATTTATAACAATTTAATGAAATTTTCGAATGCGTTTTCATAATATTGTCGTGGCCCCGCCATCATTAATCACTTGCCACTTGGCAGGACTAACGAAAATTAAGTTTCCTTTATGCTTTTGCTACAGAATTTCATTTCATTTTCCTTCTTTGAGTGGCATGAACTAGATGAGAGTCTTTTGTTAGGCAGAAATCTTAAATCTTAAAGGTATTTCGTAATAATTCTTAGTCATAAGTATGCCTGGTAAAAATAAAGAGAAAAGGTCAAATCAAATGTTTGAATAAATTTCGAGAAGACTACTGCATTTACTCCAGCTTCTAATAACAAGACCCTGTTATATATATATTCTTGGTCAGGATCAACAATATTTGTTTTTGATTTCTTTGCAAGCTAGTCTCTCATCTTGATATAAATTTAAAATCTTTAATAAGAACCGTATGGGAAGCGATTAAACTAACCAATAAATGTTATATTCTCAACTATAACTATAAATATGTATTGAAAAATTTTAAATCAAGCTAAAACTAGCACAAATAATCTTTTATAACGCTGCAGAACGAATCTAAAATTAGTTTGGAAATGTCCTTTGTTTCTCTTCAATAAATATAAAAGAGATGTGAGATAGCAGACGTTAGTAATTTCGGATGAGTTTGGCGAAATAAAAAGTGCTCGCAAATTATATGGCGAACATATGTTAAATTTCTGCGTGACTGGCTGACAATTTGGTGCTTTGAATTTCAATTCGTCTAGCGAACAAAAAAAGAAGAAAAGGAGCATGGACAACGGGGACACTCCCCTTTTTGCCCGACTGAAGAACATAAGACTTGTGCAAACATTTGGCCAAAAACAACAGAAGCGGGGGAAAACACAATTGAATTACAATGAAAATATGAAATGAGCAAAAAGTAGATGAGAAAATCGCATACAAAAATTAAGCAAACAGGCGAAACAATGGAAAAAACCCCCGAAATGAAAAGTTTCAAAGGGTGTGTGGGCCACTGGCTCCGGCAAATAGCTGGGGAAAAAAGCGCAAATTCAATATTTGCACAAGAAACAAATGGGAGCGAGGACGCCAACGACAAATGCCCCAAGACTGTCGAGCAAATAGCTAAAAAAGTAACAAAAGTAGAATAAATAAGAAAGAAAGAATGCTGCATAAATCGAAGTTTTCAATACCCTTTAGGTATTGATTCCTAAACCAGTTTTTTACGAAACTTTTCTATGACTTTTTAATATACTTTTATTGTATTCCTTAGATGAACGAACTTTTGATACATACCTAGTTTTAAGTTAAATTACCATTAATAAAGGGAGCATATCTAAAAGATAGTAATACCTATGCTAAAGTAAGTAATACCTAGCCACCTATATAAAAGACCATAAGGCATAAAAAAAATGGGCACCAAAAAAAAAGAAAACTTGTGGGAGGTATATTTTCCACCCTGCATTTGGCAAACCAAAATGGAAAACACAAATCAATGGCCGCTGGAGAGAAAAAAAACTTTAAAATGGAAATTTGCATGCGAACCCCAAAAGCTGATGGAAAACCTACCCCTGTATTTTTCACAAGCCAATTAGCGCAATAGCTTTTCCGAGGCTCGAAAATCAAAGCCAATCAAGGGCGTGATCCGAAATCAACACCATCTCGGCAGATGGGTGGTTGAAGATAGTGGGCTGGAAAACTTGATCCCTTTGACATGTTTACACATTTAATTAACTTACACACGCATCGAAAGTTTCCGGACACCAGAGATGGTGCCCATCTAATCACACCCAAGCGGGACCCCAACCCACCAACATCCAAAATGGGGCTAAGAAAACAAAAGGATAAAGACCCGCCGCCTTCTTTTTGACAATTTGAAACCAGCTCAAGTGGTTTAATCATTTAACGCACATCATAAAAATCGCATCAAGTGATTTTTATTTACACGCCCAGGACGAAAACGAGCCCCAAATCCAACGGAGGGTGGATACGACTGGGGCGGGGTGTGAAAGGGGTGGGGTTTCAGCGAACCCCTTTGAAACCCAAGGTGGTGGCTGAAAGCGATGAAAATGAGTTCGAACATTAGATAAGGATACGGTTGGTAATCATTTAGGCTTAAACAAAATAAAATGAATGGCTTCGTACTTTCTAGCTAGAGATGATTTAACTGATGACTCTGTGAGATTTATATTCATTGGCAATCTTCAAATTATGAATTATAAAAACTGGCAAATAGGATTGTCAAATGGGTATTTTCCAGCCATAGCCAACAATTGAGACAGGGTAAAAATAAGACGGTATAACCAATGATATCAATTTGTGTCGCCGAATATTTGATACCCTTATTGATATAAATCTAGTTAATTATTAAATATTAATAATTATCTAATGGGCAAACGACGATCGATTTTCTTGCGAACGTCATTTTTGAAGCCTATAAATCCTACCTCAAAATAAACAAAATAGCAAAGTTATTCCCCTAAAAATGTATATAAAAATAAGAGCAAGCATTTGTAGTCAAGAAATCCTTCACTTCATTTTTAACCAAATCAGAATAGATAAGTTATTGGGTTAATTTACTACGCAATTTTGCAAAATAATCACAAGTTTACAACTAAAAAGAAATAAAAAAATAAAACATATTTATATTATTTATTTTAATGCATTAATTTAGTCGTATAAAATAGTCTACTCTCTTCAAAATTATATGGTCAAGGCTCTTTTCCAAAAATGACCAACAAATTATTGACGTTTACCTTTTTTTAACCACTTAAAAATCTCGAAACTCTATGTTAAAAAACCATTTTATTTGGGTTGTGTTAGCAAAGTATTTAATCATTTAGTTTTCGCGTTTTTTTTTTTTAAATACATATTAAGCTGGTAAGGCGTAGTGTATATGTGAATTGTATTCAAATTTAATGCATAATCGCATAATGGGTAAAAGATGTGAGGGATTAGATGAAAATGCTTTAAGATTGATCTTGATCAGAGACAGAGAACCGAAGGAGTCGGGTCACAATGCTTAACTGAAGGTGTTAACCTTAAAGAAGAGAGAGTCGGTGATTAGCAATCAATTAAATATTTAAATAAGTTTATGCAACACTTACAATATCATCAATCTTCAAGATCGAGCGAATCGTCTCCGTGGCCAGGGTGATTGAGGAAATACTGACCAGCAGTGGTTGCACCACATTCTCCGCATAAATGTCTGTGATGGCGCCCTTGCGCACATTAATACCAGCCGTCTTCTCGCCCTGGGCGTGGCGGTTGCGCAGCTCTGTGACCGTGGCAATGGGATTCAAGCCGGCGTTCTCGGCCAGAGTCGAAGGAATGACCTCCAGGGCATCGGCAAATGCCCGGAAGCAGTACGCATCCACACCCTCAACAGTTTGAGCCAAGGCCGCCAGCTGCAGTGCCATCTCAATCTCCGGCGCACCACCGCCCACAATCTGGGCGCGCAACTTCACCAGGCAACGCACCACACAGAGGGCGTCGTGCAGGGAGCGGGCAGCCTCCTCAAGCACCAGCTTGTTGGATCCGCGGCAGATGATCGAGACTGTGCGTCCCATGTTCTGGATGCCGGTGATCTTCACAAACTTGTTGGTGCCACTGGCCACCTCCTCGACCAACTCGGCACTGGACAGGTTCTCGGCTGTGAAGTGATCCAGCGAGGCGATCGGACGGCAGTGCAGAGTCTTGCACACAAACTCAATGTCCTCGCGCTCCACATCCTTGACCACCAGACACTTGATCTTGTCCAAAAAGTGCTGAGCCAGATCAGAGACAGCATCGCTAGAAATGAAACATTAAACTATGAGCACGAAGTGGGGTGAAAATATCGCTGAACCTACCGCAGGATGGACTTCTGAACCAGCAGCACGTTGCAACCGGACTTCTTGATCTGCTTGACAATGTTGAGGATGTATGAACGCTCCTCCTTCAGCACACGATCCATGGCAGCGTAGTCCGACACAATCACATTATGGTCCATCTGGAAAGTGAGTTGTGCAAATTATTATTAGTAGTAACAAGAACTTAAATTGTACTTGAATTTTCCTATTTGGTACTCACATCGGTCTTGGGAGCCGAAATGCAGAACTGGATCAGCCCGATCTTGGCCTTCTCGATGCGCTTGGGAGCATTGGATCCGGCCGAGCGGCAGGTGAAGACCAATCCATCGACCAGCTCGGTATCCTCGACGGTGCCGCCCAGGCTGGAGATGACCTTGATGTTCTTGAGATCCACGGAGCCCTCCTTGCTGGGGTCCGTGACCTTGAGGACGGCATCCACGGCAATGGGGGCCAGCAGGCTGCTCTGCTGGGACACCACCTTGGAGTTGAGCGAGGTGGAGGCACTCTTGATCAGCGTCTCGCGGTCGTTCAGCTCGATGGGAGTGGACATCTGTTTGAGGATCTCCACGGCCTTGTTGGAGCAGCGCTGGAACGAGTCCGAAATGGCCGTGGGATGCAGGCCCTTCTGCAGCAGCTTCTCGCAGGCTTCCAGCAGAGCGCCGGCAATGACCACCACGGAGGTGGTGCCATCGCCAGCGGCCACATCCTGGGCACGAGACAGCTCCACAAGCATCTTGGCGGCCGGGTGCAGCACGTTCATCTGCTTCAGGATGGTGGCTCCATCGTTCGTGATGGACACTTCGCCATTGCCCGCCTGGATCATCTTGTCCATGCCGCGGGGGCCCAAACTGGTACGAATGGCATCGGAAACGGCTGCAAAGGAGGAGTGATTATTAGTTTAAGTTCTTGATTTTTGAAACCCTTACAGAACTAAGGAATAGGAAAAAATCAGAAGCCAATCCTACGGAAGCTTGTTTAGAATTTAATTTAAATCATTAAAATGAAGTTCCCATTAAATTCTGCACTGATAATTCAATTCTACAGTTGCAAATGTGCAAATAATGATAATATGTATCTACAGAAATTTTGCATGTAAAACGATAAAGGTTAAAAATGTTACACCAATTGGCATTCATAAAATTTATTTTAAAACATATCTTTCAAAAAACATGCAATTAGAAGGTTGAGCGCAGCTTGTTAATTTTTAAGTGATAAGTAATATATTAAATAAGCTATAAGAAATTGGATGAATTGTGGTTTATGTTATTACGCACATACAAATAAGCAGTAAGAAGGAATGGCATGTGCTAAGTTCCACACAGAATGCTTTAAAATTTGATGACTAATTTTGCAATAAACAGACAGATAGTCTGGGATTTATAGGACCCAAAGCTATTTTATTTTCTAGAATGGGAGGCAGAGCAAACCTCATTTCGGAGCTATACTACTCCCAAGAAGGGTATTTATAAGCCTTAAAAATTCACAGCACTGTTCATTCATCACATGAGTAATGCTCGCTCTTCTTCTTCCGGCCCAAGAAGTTTCCAGACAGCCGGCATCCAACTGCGATTTTCAGTTGCCATTTGGCCAGGAATTCTGGCACAACATCGTCTGAAAACCCATTGAACAGCCTTTCTGGACTACAAATAGTCCCTGGGCAGACATTTCACCCAAGTTTCGTTTAATTTTGCACATTTTCTCACCTTTCGCCGCTTGAATGTTCGACAAGCGCACATCCGTGGGCTTCGACTTGTTTTTGAAGGCCTTGGCCGTGGGCTTGCTGCCAACCGATTGTGCCTTGGGCGCCATTGGAACGATACGATTCAGTTTTCAGCAAAACACAATTATTTCACACTAAATTCACAGCGATTTACACGGATTAAAATTGGGTAAATTTATTTTTTTCGGGCTGGAATTAGTGTGGCCGCACCCAACGAGCTGAAAAATACCGCCGTCTTGAAATCGATTGCACTCGGTGCTACCGATGTCATCGTTCCCTGTGAATGCTGTTTTGGGGTTACCGTTTTCTCAAAGGTGACTCGGCTGGTTTATTTACGTTTGGATTTTGTTAAATTTTAAATTGAAAACATGCCGCACGGACACTCGCACGATCACGGTGGATGCAGCCACGAGGCCACGGATGTGGACCACGCACTGGAAATGGGCATAGAGTACAGTTTGTACACAAAAATCGACCTGGACAACACCGAGTGTCTGAACGAGGAGACGGAAGGCCAGGGAAAAAGTGTTTTTAAGCCCTATGAGCGACGCCAGGACCTCTCGAAATACGTCCAGAGCGACGCGGACGAGGAACTGCTATTCAATATTCCCTTTACCGGCAACGTTAAGCTCAAGGGAATCATTATAAGCGGTGCCAATGATGATTCGCATCCCAACAGAGTTCAAATGTAAGAGCAATACTCTAAGGAATCGAACAAATTTGTACTTTCTTAACTCTGATTTACAATTTTCAGCTTTAAGAATCGCCCGAGGATGACTTTCGATGATGCGAAAGCTAAGCCCGACCAGGAATTCCATCTCACTCGCGATGCCCGTGGCGAAATCGAGTACTCACCCAAAGTGGTCACATTCTCATCCGTGCATCACCTCTCGCTGTACTTCCCCAGTAATTTTGGCGATGACAACACTCGCATTTACTATATAGGTAGGTGTGCCACAGAATCATGCCTTTTATATCACCCATTAAAATTATATACTCTCAGGACTTCGAGGGGAGTTCACTGAAGCCCATTATCATGGTGTAACCATCTGCAATTACGAAGCTCGTGCCAATGCCGCAGATCACAAGGAAAAGGCTTTCGATGGAGTGGGAAGAGCCATCCAATAAATGAGAAAAAGCCTGCTTTTATGTTAGTTACAAATCGCAATTTAATTGAGTATCTCTGTTAAGTATATTTTGTGATCATTTAAGGCATAAAATGTATTAAAACATTTGAGTATTTGTATTGCACTGAAATCGAATGGTAAAATTACTCAAGTATATTGTGTGGGGGGCACCACATCGGGTCCTATCTTCATGCCCACATTGGGCACCTTATCCGAATGGATTTCAGCCGTGACCTCGGTGAAGAGTTTGTCCCACTGCCAGAGATCGTCCTTCTCGTTGAGACTCTCCTGGGGAACCAGGCATTCGGCAAGGATTGAGAGATCAAAGCCATCTACTGCTGAAAAGGCGTACTGGGAAAGCAAGTCCGAATTTGCCTCCTTTAAAACAGCAGACCGACTAGTGCCGATACTAAAAATGGTAGGTATTTAGTTTCTGTAGTGGAAACAAAGGGTAATCTCAGGCTTACGCAGGTGGTTCGACTATCTCATTCAGCATAATTTCATCTTTAACATCTTCCATATCTGGGATGACTGGTATGTCATCGGTTGGTATTGAATTTGTAGCCGATTTTGTTTGCTTAAAACGTTCGCTGCAAAAAATACAATTTTTTTTAATTGCAGAAAAAATTTAGAACTTATTGAAATTAAAATCGTTCTCTGCCATAAAATGTTTATACATTTTTTGTATTTATTAAATATCCTTGGTAATCCTTTAAATCAATTTTACAAGCTTTAGATATATGTACTTACTCATCAAAGGAGTTCTTCTTGGACCTGTGAAGAAAGAGTAATTAGGAAAATGGTTTTTTTTTAAGAGGACTACGACACCCACTTTAATCCTTTTAGCCCAGAATCCGCCCATCCCCCCGAAATTCGACGGATGGGTGGACGATGCGACTCGAACTCATTGTTGTAGGTCGACGAAGTGGCCGTGTCCGAAGTTGTTGGCGGAGTTCCTGCCTGGACATTCAGGGTGATGTCGATGGATATGTCCTTGGATCCTGAGGCCGCCTGTGTGGGGTCCTCCTTCAAGACATCGCGACTCTTGGAGCGCCGGCCCTTCCTGGCCGTCGTCTGGGGGTAAAAATATGTTCCAACTGTTATATGCACCTATTAAATGGTTATTCTTCACCTTTCTTATGGTCATCTTCAGTTCTTCGGCCCAGTCCATCATTTTTTGTTTACGTTTTTCCTCAGCGTTTCCAAGGCAACAAGTGGTCATGGTTGCTCCGTGTGAATGGTTGAGTTTCTCCTGGAGTTTGCCATTCGCCTTGCGATCCGATAGTTTTCAAATCAGTAGTTATCAATATCCGATGACAGAGGGAGGAAGTTCAAGTTGCCAAAATAAACAAACATATTTTTTGTAATCACGGAAAATGCTGACGGACACCGACGATGACTTCTTCTTTGAGGAGGATAAGATGTAAGTACCCGATGGAAGCCATCAGTTAACGGAAACCTTCTGCCTAGCTTAAATCGAGCACAACAATCTGTTGCGATGTGCCAAAGTGTCTGTTAAAAATCAATAATCGTCCCAAACCGAAACATATTGTTGGACTCAGGCCACAACCGCTGCTCATCCAGTTGGATGAAGACAAGGATCTTCCAGTGGAGCCGGAAAAACCATCCGCTGCTCCACCCGAGACCACCGTTATGCTCTGTTCTCCGGCGGGCTTTTCCATCGAGTCAGCCAATAGGCAGAAATATGAGTTAGATCGTTTGTAAGTCGGCCCCGTTGACCCGGAATCAAAAAAAACATTACTAGAAAAGTGTATTTCCAAGGTTATTATTTATATGTGAATAAATTGTTAAGTTCTTGAAACGATTAATAATTTTGTTAAATATTTTATGTTAAATATTTTACAGTTTTATTTAACCTTTGCACCTTTTTTTCAAATTTTAAACAGTCGGTGAAGTTGGTTTTTTTTTTTTTGACATTTAATGATTTATTTAATTTTGACTTAACATTTAATTTCTTCTTATATTTTGTATAGTTTTTTTTAACAAACACTGTAATTATATCGTATTTTGAACAACAAAATAACCAGAACTAGAACCAACGGTATTTTGTTTTATTAAATTTTATGATTCAAACCAAAATAGGACAACTAGAATTTTTATTTTTGTGTAGTGATATAGTTGCTTATAATAAACAATAACGTATTCATAGCTAAGCTAGCTAGTGAAATAGTAAATTATGTTAACTTCGAGGCGTCCTTAGGCAATCGGATTCCTTTCAATCGATGTCGTTAGTATCACTAAATTGCCCCGAATATTTGTTTCCTCAAACAGCAGTAGGTAAACTAATTATAGTCTAATTGCCTTGCTAAAACTGGTAACATGGCTAATTAGAAAATTGCACCGATCGATGTGAGTACGTATGGAAAATTGATATAAAGTCACCCACACATAAATAAATATTTAAAATCATATAGCACGCGTAGTTCTCGCTTGGTTCTTAACTATAATTTGACAAAACTAATCGTTAATCCACTTTTTAAACCATAAATTAGGGGCATGACAGTCACTACCAATGCTGTTGTTATTACCAAGGATCAGAGCAACCTAATTGGAATAAGCATCGGAGGTGGAGCACCCATGTGTCCCTGTCTTTATATTGTGCAGGTGAGTTAAAGTTCAGGGTTAAGGGTCCCGACTATTATATACCCGTTCTTATCTGACCAATATCAAAATATAGGGTTTTAGGATTAAGCTATTTTATCTCTTCTTGCGATCTATATGTTTTAATTCGATATTTAATAGATTAATATGTATCAACCAAATAAAATACAAAGTATTTTTCCCACATCCGAGACTCAATGATATAATATTCAAAGTATCTGTACAATTTTCGGTGAATTTTTCGGAGGAAGTTCTAACTGTATATTTAACTAACTGATCGTTACTCTCATCACTTTCTAGATTTATGTTTATGAAAATTAAATTCCTAGGATCTTTGGGATCCATTTGCAGCACTGACCCTTGTCCAGGGATTCGGAGTAGCCTTAAAGTTTGTAATTTTGCGGAGCTTGAGGAACTCCTTCCGTTCTCGCTTAAACCAGTCGCTGGCCTTCTGCTCCAGCTTTCGATCCATCCGCCACCTTTTCTGCTCGTCATACAACTGGCGACTCAGAGCGCGTTCGGAAGTATGAAGATGAAAAGGCTTTGGACGGGTGCAATTAGAGTCGATTCGCGGGATGAACGGCTGGCGGTGCAGGTAGTCCATTGACGATTTTGGATTGATCTTGGGAGTAAAGTCTGTCTGCCTTTTGCTTTGCTTTTCCTGCTTCTGTCGTTTGTGGAGCGCCTCCATTGAGACGAATAGGGTGCCAGGACATCGGGGCTTCGTCAGCTTTTGCAGAGAGTGCAGGTACAGCTTACGCCTCTCCAAACGCTGATGGGATCGCTCGAAATTGGGCACAGGTCTACTCCGGAACTGATTCTTAATCCCTTGGACTTTAGCCAAACGGTTAAGCTCCTTGCGCCTCTCGTCGTATACCTGTTGTATATTATAAGCCCGAGGCGTCCTCTTGAACTTCTTCGTCTTTCCCTGCTTTTGGCCACCACCCGCCGGTTTACGCTTATGAAAAACGTTTTGCAAGTCCTGCTCCCGGAGCACTGCCCTCAGCCTGTTATCCAGTCGATCGAAACCCGGAATCAACTTTGGTCTCATCTGGGGTTCATTTGTGAACTGCTCTTGGGACCACTTATTCCAGTCGGTGATGGTCATAACTTGGCTAGCCAATTTGGGAACTATTGTGTTTAAACAATTTAGAAGCTTGGACAAAGGTCTACTACAAACATGGTTACGATATTTGGTTTAGAAATAATATGAATTATATTCAAAAGCCTGAAAATTATTCTCCACCAGAGTTGTGCCTTTACATTAGTTTTGTAATTAATTGGAAGTTTAATTACCACAAATTTATTACAATTAACATTGTAATAAATTATTTTGGAAAAGTAATGACAATGAAAAATCAATTCATTGATTTTGCCAAAGGTAATTCTAATGGAAAAAACTATTCACTACTTTGAAAAAAACATTAAATAAGCATTGATTCCTTTTTTAATTTATAATTATAAAATCATAGAACATAGAACAACAATTTTTTTAATGCCCTTCTTGGGCATTCCATGTGTTGGCAGTTTGTAAATGTATTCATAACATCGAATGGACTTAATCTAAAAGTTCGCTTACAAAATAAAAACTACAACAATGATTGTTCAAGATAAGAGATAGATAATGATACAACTTTTCCCTCTTAAACTGCAGATCTTCGATGGCACTCCCGCCGCAAGGGAGGGATCCCTGCAATCCGGGGACGAACTGCTGGCGGTGAACTCGGTGAGCGTGAAGGGCAAGACGAAGGTGGAGGTGGCCAAGATGATCCAGACGGCCACCGACGAGGTGGTCGTCCACTACAACAAGCTGCACGCCGATCCCGAACAGGGCAAGACACTGGACATCATTCTGAAGAAGCTGAAGCATCGGATAGTGGACAACTTGTCGAGCAACACGGCCGACACTTTGGGACTCTCCCGGGCGATACTCTGCAATGATTCGCTGGTGAAGCGACTGGAGGAGCTGGAGGGCACTGAATTGATGTACAAGGGTCTGGTGGAGCATGCCCGCCGCATGCTCAAGGCCTACTACGATCTGCTGCAGACGTACAAGTCCTTTGGCGATTGCTTCACCCAAATTTCGGTCCATGAACCGCAGCAGCGAGCCTCGGAGGCTTTCCGCACCTTCGGCGAGTTTCATCGCACCCTGGAAAAGGATGGCTTGGGCATCATCAAGCAGATAAAGCCAGTGCTGGCCGATCTGGGTACGTATCTGAACAAAGCTATTCCGGACACAAAGCTCACGGTACGTCGATATGCGGATGCCAAGTTCACGTATCTCTCGTATTGCCTGAAAGTCAAGGAGATGGACGATGAGGAGCATGGCTTTGCTGCCCTCCAGGAGCCATTCTATCGGGTGGAGACGGGGAACTATGAGTACAGATTGATCCTGCGGTGTCGCCAGGATGCACGCAGCAAGTTCGCCAAACTGCGCACGGATGTGCTCGAAAAGATGGAGCTGCTGGAGTGCAAACATGCCATGGATCTGAACAAGCAGCTGAGAAGCCTGCTGGAGAGTTTGGCGGAACTCCACCGGAGTCTGGTGGAGCGACTGGACTCCCTGCCGCCGCTCTTTCCCATCGAGGTGGACTTCAAGGAGACGGATTTCCAGTACAAGTCGAGCACACTGAAGCCACAAGAGTTGGACGATGACGAAATCGAGGCCAACAATCACTCCAGTTCCACTCCACGCCAAGTGGATTGCGGTTTCGAGGCCGTGGAGCAGCCGGCGGCCATCATCAGTGTGGAGGTCAAGGCATCCGTAGAGTCGTCCGCTTCCCCGTCCACCAATGAGAACGAATCGCTGCTCAAGGAACTGGGTCTCTACGATGTGGACCTGCTGTCCAATCCGCAGACCATCAGCAATCAAAAGGACTCCATAGCGGCCCAGAACGATGGCTATGACTTCGATCTCTTCCTCAACCAGGCGACTGCTGCCACCACCAGTTTGGAGAGGGATCTGATGTCCTCCAACGCGGAGGAGATGGATCTACTCTTGCAATAGGCTTTTATAGTACAAGTATTATTAAATATATTAGATAAATGTTACATTTAAATATAGTCGGTGTATGTAATATAAAATCTTTCATTTTTTGTTTATTATTTTGCTATTTTTGATTAAAATATTTATTTTTTACCTGTAGGATGGAGCGAAGGAAAAGCTTAAGGGACTAATGAATGTTGTAAGCTGTCTTGATCAATCAGATGCAGTACGGAAAATAATTATTTAGATTATATTCGTTATCTTAATTTATCTGTGTATACAAACATAATACGTTTAATGTTAATTTTTGTGGAAAAATTTTATTAAATTAAACTAAATTAAAAGAAAAAAAGTTCGTATTCCCGAGTATTAACTGAACAATCAGTCGATTTCTTTCTTTTTACAACAAAATCTTGTTTCAACAAAATTGCGTTAAAGGAATCTAAGGAATTATCTTAATTTCAACCTATTAATAACCTGTTTAAAACTCATTCTAGTTTAGGTTAAGGGAACCCCATTATTCTCACTTGCTATTCTAGTTCTGCAGAAGAATTTCGCCAGAACGGACCCGATTAGGTAGATTCCCCCCAAAACTAGGAAGTAGCTGCCATACACCACGTACTGATCGCGTGGTCCCAGACCAAAGCCCACATTCTCCACCACCACAACGGTCAGGATGGTCTGAAGGAGCAGTCCAGCCAGCGTGTTGATGCCGAAGATCAGTCCAAAACTGTCCTCCACCAGATTGCCAGCCACCACCGCACCCGCCACTGTGATGATGAAGAAAAAGACGGCGCAGAAGAGCACGTAGTTCACATAGGCCACCCAGATTTGCTGCGTCTTGGCGGCATAGATGAGCAGGGCTCCCAGGACAGCGGCACACATGGATATGCCCAACATGTAGGATCCACGGCGCTTATTGGAGTTGAGCAAGCCGGCGAGAATTGCTCCGATGGCGCCAAGCAGAGTGGCCGTGGCCTCCACTCCGCCATTATAAACGCTCAGGTGATCCGGGGCCACCTCTTTCCACAGGAATTGAATGTAGGAGATAACCTGCGGATCGAAAATACTTGTTATATTTCAGCGTTAAATGCACCCCACTATTTCGGGAATTACATTCCCGGTTTTATTGTTAGGGTAATGTTTAAACTGTATTACACCACTAATAACATTAGAGTGGATGAAAGATTAAATACTAATTGCAAAATATTAATACAATTTGTAATATTCCTGTTTGGAAGAGTAAGTATACATTGCGTTAACAATTTCCCAAAAAAAAAATTTGTCCGATAAAATTGTTTTTATTTTTGCCACCATGATAATTATTCTCTAGCAGTTATCTTGGCAATTATTCATTTTTAAACATCTTTCGGAAAAGCGATACGGGTATTTTTTTTAGTAGAGAACTAAGCTATAATTATAATAATATAATCTACGCCAACAAATACGATGGAGCCACACTATAAGCGGGTAACCCTAACACCTTTCCAATAATTACCTTAAAAACATCTTTTGCAGGCGTGTATAAAAGTGGCTTTATGTATTTTAAGTATAAGTATCGACTACCACTATTAGAACAAGAAAGAAAGCAAGCTTCGGAAGTCGAAGTTGATATACTCTTGCAGGTCTTATTATATTATAAATAAAATGTTATTATTTATTACAAATACAGTATTTAACAAAACGACTTCATTTCAATTTTTATGCTGTATGATGTTTTTCGATTTTAATAAAGTTAAAAACGTTATTCTTAAATATTTATACTATTTCGGACGACTATATCATATACATAATGGTTCATTATTCAAGATTATGGTTTTAATTTTACACCGATAATTTAATGCTGCCATAGGAGCGATCGGAAATCATCTTAACTTTATTATTATAAACATTTAGGCATAAAAGTAGAAATATTGTTATTGTTTTAAAGAATATTTATTTTGGATTAGCTAAAAAGGTGTAAGATCTACGGCTTTTCGAAGTGTGCTTCTTTTCTTGTCTGCAAGGCTCTCCATGAAGTGGATATGGTATGGAGAAAGAAACTGCTAAGTTTGCAGAAAAACGTAGATCTAGAGTAGAAATACAACCGACTCACCTGAATTTGACCACACGTGGCCAGTGCCCACCACAGGCTCCACTGCAGCACGACGGGATTGGAGTAGGATGAGACGAGATGGTACCACAAGAGGCGGCATGCGTTGGAAAAGGAGAATCTGGGAGTCGTCACCTCTCCACCGGCAGGTGGATTCTTGTCCGCGGCAGCATAAAAGTAGAGACTTCGGGGAACACCAGGAAGGAAAAGGGACACCGCCAAGGAGATGAGCTGAGTGCTCAGCGAGATGTAGTGCAGCTGGCGGTAGTTCATGCTGTCGGTGGACACCAGAACTTGAGCCAACAGGCCGCCCAGGAACTTTCCGCTCAGGATGGCAGCCCTCGTGTGACCCGTGACGATCTGGTACTGCTCCTTGTCCACCTTGGCGTACATGTACGTGTAGTAGGCCACCTCCGCGGCCGTGAAGGTGCCGAAAAAGAGCTGGGCAACTTGCAACATCCTCACGGTTTCCGTCCAGATGAGCAGCGTGAAGAGCGTAATCCCGGCCAGCGCCGACAGCACGATAACCGGCTTGTAGCGCACCAGGTCCGTGATGAGAAACACAATGACCAACTGGGCCAGCACCGAGTAGGTGCCGAAGGGGTACACATCCTGGTAGATCGTTTCTATGGTCAGATTTCCGTAGTCCGAGGACAAATACTCCGTGACGTACGGCTCCGAGGGTCGAAGTTCCCGGAAAAACCCGAACGTGCACAGCAGCAGCGAGATCTTCAGCCAGTTTTTCATGTCGTAAATTGCGATACCAAGTGGTGGTGACCTGGTGGAATCGACTCTGCTCCGGCGACAGATGTTGCGCGTACCGAAAAGTGTCGTAACCAACGCGACGAATGCCAGCCGGCAACTGATCGCGCAATTTGGGAGCGGAGCATTCCCAGTCACTCTCCGGCAAACCGACCACAGTGGTGCCCAGAAGTATCCACACACAACAAGCGAAAAACTAAAACCGGTCAGTCAAGCTTTTAATGCAAGGGAAGATTTTTGCTTTGATAAATTGATCAAGTTCAACTTATAATTATAAATTATTATTGGTTATAATAAGTATTTTATAGTTATTATCAGCTTCAAATTTATTTAAATTTTAACTAGTCAAAAAAAAGAGAAACAATTTCGTCATATGATGTCAAAAATTAATATTTATAAAAATGGCTGACTGCTATAGAAATAATATACAACTTTCGGAAAATTCGTGGATTACAAAATATGGTTCGATTCTACCAAAAAAATATTTCTATTTTCGTTAGATTAGGTATCAAAAAACCAAAAACACTAAACATATTATATTTTCATCGCATATATTAAAATTACCATTATTGTAAATCTATAAATTTTCAATTCTAATATTATTTTACATATGTATCTCATATATTTTTAGCAAGAACTGTTTGACCTTAAAAGACCGTGAAACAAAAGTTCTATTCTCAATATTTAATTAACTTTCAGCTTTTTAAACCAGAACTTATCACAGCATGGCTTTGGCCCTAAATCATGGACAAAAAACGCAAATTCAATGAAAAATCTAAAGTTGAGTAAGTTGTTCGTTTGACGCATTGCAAGGTAAGCTGAATTGTAAGTTGTTTCACAAACACGAAACCGAATTCATAGCTTCGAGGAATTTCAGTGGTTGCTCCAAATGAATTTATCGTCAATTGAGTGATGCATTAATTGGGAATTCTCTTAATGCTCATCGTTTAAATAATTAAACTCTTAGAATTCATAAACAAGAGAATCTACTCTTGAATTCAAAGCTGTAAAAATAAAGCATTTAAAGTTTGCTGATAACTTTGCTATTGTCATCTTATCTAAGCCTAATCTTAGCACACTAAATTTGATACTGTCTAGCAAGCAAAGTATATCTCAAGTCGATTTTATTTAAGTCTGCTCCAATAAATAACTGTTGAGGGTTAACTAAAAGTTAATTTTCTTAATAAAAAGATAAAATGTTAGTTTAAAAATCAACGAAGATTTAATTTTATTTTCCTTTTTTTCTCGATTGCTATGAGTTAGTAGGCTGATCCTACCCGTTCACACCTGCATCATAAATAAGTCTTTCTTCAAAACTGAGGGATGATAATAAATGTCATCAATAGTCATAAATTCCTCTTGAGATTTTACCACATGCACTAAAGGTAATCTTTATAGAGTTTTTTGGTATATAAACAATTGGAAGGTTAGGTTAAGTTCAAGCTTGACAAGACAATAATAATGTTGATCTTGAGGACTGGGTTTCCGAAACTCATTAAAAATTGCCCGTGACTAATTACTTTGATACTCTTCATAGAGTTTAAGGATCCAAAGTTTCTCTTAATCCTATACTACTTCCGTTTGAGGTAGTCTTCATAGAGTTTCAGCAATTCCGGACTTGTCCGTGGTGGCACTGCCTTTAAGGCATGCTCGAAGTCCACCCACTTCACCTGCTCCGCTTCGAAGCTTTGCTCAAGGGCCCGCAGGGCAGCCTCATGGCACACGGCTTGGATTTCTGCCCCTGAGTAGCCCTCCGTTAGCTGCACCAACCGCTCCATGTCCACTTCCTTGGCTACCGGCATGGCGCGCAGTTTAATCTTCAAGATTTCCGCACGTGCTTCCCTTTGGGGTAATCCCACATAGAGAATACGATCGATTCTTCCTGGTCGGAGTAGCGCCTTGTCAATCATATCCGGGCGATTGGTTGCCGCCACAATGGTGACATTTTGCAGCGCCTCAACGCCATCCAGTTCGGTGAGCAGTTGAGTGAGAACGCGTTCCTTGACGGAGGAGCCAGAACTGGAACCCTCACCCTCCGCCCGCTCCCCGCCAATGGCGTCGATCTCATCGAAGAAAACTATGGCGGGGGCCACCTGGCGGGCCTTTCGGAACACCTCGCGCACGGCTCGCTCCGATTCACCGACCCACATGGAGAAGAGCTCTGGACCCTTGATGGACAGGAAGTTGAGCTTGCTTTCGGTGGCCAGGGCCTTGGCAATCATCGTTTTGGAGCAGCCTGGCGGTCCGAACATGAGGATACCCCTTGGTGGCTTTATGCCCAGCCGTTGGAACTTCTCCGCATGAAGCAGCGGCCACTCGATGGCCTGCTGCATGGCCAAACGGAGCTCGGATTGACCGCCGATGTCCGACCACTGAACGTTGGGACACTCGATGAGCACTTCTCGCATCGCCGAGGGTTTAATGCGCGTCAAAGCGGTCTGTAGATGCGGAAGCTGCAAGGGATTGGGCTGTGCCTGTAGTACCGCAGAATACACCAGATTCGCCAGATCTGCTCCCACATAGCCATGGGTAATGGATGCTACATTCTCCACCTCCTCTTCACTCAGTTGATGCTCCAAAGACTGGATCAGGCAACGAATAATATCACGTCTTGCCTGCGGACTTGGGGCACCCAACTCCAGTTCACTGTCCAATCGACCAGCTCTCCGAATGCTCGGATGCAGAGCGTCAATTTGTGAACTGGTGGCCAGCAGGAAGGTTTTTTTCCCCTTTAGCTGGCTGGGAGTGCTGAGCTGATCGAGCAGCGATAGGAAGGCCAACGAGACCCGCTTGACCAGATCGCTGCCCTCCTGCTTGGGACACAAGTTGTGGACATCCTCAATCAGCAGCAGAGTTGGATGTGGATAGTGATTGTAGGCGCGCTCGAAAATGGCCGCCAGTTTCTGTTCCGTTTCGCCCAGGAACTTGCTGTACACTTCGCCGCTGTTGATGCGGATCACCTGCACATGACCTTGGCTCCGCTCCTCTGCCACCGCGCACATAGCTTCCAGAATCATGGACTTGCCACAGCCAGTGGCGCCGTAGAGAAGCAATCCGCGAGATACTCGGAGACCTGCGAGATGAAAACAATAAAGATAATATGAAAGAGAAACTTGATATACACCCACCTGCAGGCAAGGCGCGAAGGCCCAAAGCGTAATCCATGCTCTCCTCAACCAGTTGCAGTTGCCTATCCAGTCCTCCTATTTGGGATTTGGTTACCCTGTGGCTCATCGTCTGATCCTCATGTTGCTGATCTGAATTTTCAAGTATCAGTTGGAGTTTAGTGACATTGGTAACCTGCACAAACTGCTGGGGCTTGGAGTCCAGACTGAGACCAGCTAGGGCATCTTCGACGGTGCCCTGCCATCGTTCCAGCCGAAATAGCAGCGATTTGTTGAAGAAATTCATGTGGATTTGGCTGAGCTGGCAAAAGACTCTATTAACCATTTCCCTTTTGAGCAGGCTGACCGCCTCCTGAAGTTGTCCTGATGTTAGATGCATCTCTGTGCTGTTCAGATGCTTGAGGGAAACGCTGGCAGCCGCTGTGAGGCAACTGGGATCCAGGGCGAAGATCTTCACGAGCTTTCCACGCAGTTGCGTGCAATGGAGCTTGAAGTCTGAAAGAGATCATAAAGGTAATGTTTTTCAAAACAGTATTCCCTCTAAAAGTTAACCTCACTTACCCCTTTCGCTCACAAACACTGTGGTCAGGAATTGCTCCGAAATGGGCCACACAATCCTTACAAGCGGATGCTCCGCCGTCGAAGCAGCTTCTAGCACCACATGCTGCCCAATGTGAAGCTGGGCCAACTGCATTGCACCCTCAGAGACGAAGACCAGCATGTTGGCATACTTGGCAGGTAGATCTTTCAGGGATTCCACCTCGAAGTTCCGCTGCTGAAGGCTTCTCGTGAAGATTGTCCCACTTCGCACGAACTCCGCGTCTGAATCGGGACCCCCATCGTCCTGGCCGATGGCAGAACAGACGCCTTCGTGAGTGTCCCTCGCCTTAGACGGTATGTGTACGCCACAGGACTCGCAGTGGTACCAACTGGCCTGGTTTTTCTTGCTGCTCGACTTTGGCGGCATCTCTTCGACCGGTTGCACGTTTTGTTTTCATTTTCGGTGGTCGCGTCCGCGTCCATTGGTGAATGGCAAATCGAAGACGGCCTTGTCTAGTTTTGGCGAAAAATAGTTAAATGAAATTATGGCTAAAAAAGTAGCTGGGCTTGCGCCGAAATAAATTTTAAATAAATAAATATACCAGGTTAATATTATATTAAATGTGGCGCTTAAAAAAATATATTCTTAAGTTTTAGCCCAAAAAATGTATTTTTGATTTAGGAGGACACTGCGCAATTTTTAAATCATTAAATGGCTAAATTGGGCTGAGCATGTCAATGCGCCGTTTTGCCATCACTGTTAGTGTTGTGTATTCGGCATTTTCCGGCTGCCCGAATGCAGCCACTCCCGAGGTTCATTGTTTGTGACTCAGACTTCCAAGAGCAAAAAAGACAGACAGCAGGAGCGGATTACACAGCGGATAAGCTATGAACAGCGACGGCGAAGCCTCATCACTGCAGATGCCCCTGCCCCAGATGACGGTGCAGGGCATCCTCGCAGGGGAAGCTCTACAATCACCCGACCCTGCGCCTCTTTCGGTGGCGGAGGCGGTGTCCAACACGGACTTCTACATCGGAGTGGGCCTGGCCATTTCCTCCTGCTTCTTCATCGGCTCCAGCTTCATCATCAAGAAAAAGGCCCTCATCCGGCTGAGCAGATACGGCGAGGTTCGGGCTTCGGCCGGAGGATTCGGATACCTAAGGGAGTGGATCTGGTGGGCGGGCCTTTTAACGAGTGAGTGGAAAACAAGAATAAAACCCTTGCAATGTGCTAGTTCAATTGTAATAAACAGGAATAGAATAGAATCATCTCAATAACATGTTAATTTAAATCTTGAAACTAAATCAGAAGTGCCACAGAAGGACAATAAAAGAGATTACAAACGAAATTTATTCAGGATATGGTAGACTTTTGTCCCTGCCATGTCTCATTCAATTATCTATTAAATACCAAAAAAAAGTAATGTCATTAAGACGGATCGTTCTTTGAAACCGTTTTAGATATGGATATGGAAGTCAGATTGCAGTAGTTCTTATTATTGACGTAGCGCACAAAAGATTGGAATATTTGTAATCGATTAGCACTTTGTTATTTAAAGCAGGGAAATGAAAACTATGCAAATGTATAAAATCTATAGAATAGTTGTTATTTTGCCAAGCTCCTCCAAAATCTCGAATACCTCTTGCAAGTGTACATATGTATGCATATATATAGTGACAAACAAAACCCCTTATCGCACTGACTCATTGACTCACCGCCTGTTTTTTGTTGTTGCAGTGGGTGTGGGAGAAGCGGCCAACTTTGCGGCCTATGCCTTTGCGCCGGCCTCTTTGGTGACCCCATTGGGTGCCTTGAGTGTGATCATCTCCGCCGTGATGGCCTCCAGATTCCTCAACGAGAAGCTGAATCTGCTGGGCAAGATAGGCTGCTTCCTGTGCATACTGGGCTCCACGATCATTGTGATCCACTCGCCCAAGGAGAAGGAGATCGAGGATCTGCAACTGCTGTTCGACATGCTCTTGGATCCGGTGTTCATCCTGTACATGATCTGCATCATTGGCTCCACGGTGTTTGTGGCCTGCTTTATTGCCCCGCGCCATGGACACACCAATGTGGTGGTCTATATCTTCCTGTGCTCGGGCATTGGATCGCTGACTGTGATGTCGTGCAAGGCCTTGGGTCTGGCCATTCGGCAGACGCTAAACAATGGGGGCAACGTGTTCCTCACCTGGATGCCTTGGTTCCTGATCCTGGTCACCGTCACGTTCATAGCCATCCAGATGAACTACCTGAACAAGGCGCTGGATATATTCAACACCAGCATAGTGACGCCAGTTTATTATGTGATGTTTACCACCTTGGTGATTGCTGCCTCTGCCATCCTGTTCAAGGAGTTCACCCACATGCGATTCGACGACATCCTGGGCGATGTGTGTGGCTTCCTCATCGTCATAACCGCCGTCTTCCTGCTCAACGCCTTCAGGGACATTGATATATCGCTGAACGATGTGAGGGGTCTGATGCGGCCCAAAATGCAGCGGGTGTCGCAGTTTGACGAGGAGGTTCTGGTCACCAGCAACTCCAAGGAGCGACGTCTGTCCTACGGATCCGGGGACGTCTACCGGAAGGCCTGACGCAAGCAGCGCTACCAGGTCTAGTTGCATCCCCCGCAGCGAACGGCCTGAAGAGGAGCTTCTCGCTCCGCAGACGAAGCAATGGTCCAAATATCTGTGCATATCACTTGCCCACACACACATCTCATCCCCATCGTTGTTCCTTCGATCTTGTTATCCACACATTCGCTAGCTTAAGATCTTAGCTTTAGGTTGAAACTATATTACAGACGATTTACTAAACAAAAACGATTTGTGTGTGTATTTAATTGGATTAGAATTTAAAAGAGATTTTTCAAGCTTCCTTTTGCCTACTTATTAGATATTAAAAAACAGCTTTCAATACTAAATAGCGGGATATTGTGATATATGCATGTCTATAAGAATTTTGGTTATATTTCAATTATGTTTTTAAAGTTTTCCAGTTTTATAAAAGTGTAAGCATTACATTTTTTTTGCTACTTTTAGCATATGTTTAGTGCGTGCTTACAAGTGAGAAAACGGAATTAATAATTTCCGAAAAAAATTAACAAATGTTTCTTATTACACATTTATTGAATTAGCTTTTAAACAAGTGTTCTTCTTACTTAATCTCTACTGTACTTCAATCAATGTAGTGAGGACACAATTACGTTTTAAAGGTGGGCTTCATATTGCTGGCGACGTCTTTCCTTTTGGCTGGGCCTTTGGTTCCTCCTTTTTCCCTTGGACTTTTCCATGTTACCTGGGATAATCTTGGGCTCCAGGACAAAGTTCTGTCTCTTTTCCCGCTTTCTGTCCTTGTTCTCCGTTTCCATGCCACTGCCCATTTGGAACATTCCCGATCCGTAGAGCCAAATGCAACTGCTCGAACTTTCGGCTGTGTGATAGGAATCATCCGCTGAATCTTCAGGAGTGCAGTCCGCTCTCAAGGGATTCTCCGGTCTACGCGTTCTACGGAATGTGAAGAATGCGGGATCTGTTATAAGGGGAAATCGTTCGCTTCCATCTTTGGGGATCTGTGGAAAACTGATCTCCTGATCCAGGGACACCATTCCGAAGTGCCGCATCATGGCCACCGCCTCCTGATGCGCAGTTGAAGTGTCCTCCCAGTCCTCCATGGTGGCGTGCTCGCCTAGCGGTTTGGTTTCCGCTATTTTCTCGATCTTCTCCATCATTTGCAGACTCTCACGGATTTCCCGACCCCTTCCGCCCGTCGATTCCTCGGGTGTCCTGTACTCCCGTTTCTTCGTCTCCTCGTAGGCCAATTGACCGTGGATCAGATTAAAACCCGGCTCCATATTCACTAGGTCGTGTTCGAATCGCGATTTGGGAACCCAAGCCATTTTGACTATCAGCTTAGAATTATAAAATTATATTTTACACAGTATTTTGTGGACTGAATCAGGCTTTTCATTTCCTTTCCAAGAGCTTTCCAAATTTAAAAAATATATGTTTGCTATCGATAGCTGGTTATCGGTTTTTTAACAAGGCGTTTCCAGGTGAATAGCAGTGTGGCAAGCAAAAGAATTGCCTTTTGCCGGCGCATCCGGGTGAATAGCACAAAGCCAAGGAAGATAATTGACTAATAACTGTTATTTAATTAATCAGTTATTTAATTTAACCGTAAAGATGAGCTTGATGCGACTAAGAGTGTTGCGTAATCTCAACCGGAACGTCCTGAGTGGATTGTGGAAGGATTCACCTCGATCGTTCGCTGTGAATGCCAACTCTTCAGCTGTCAACTTTCCGGCCGCCATTAGAACGCTGAAAACATTCAACAGCGGACTGCAACTACGCATCCTAACCAAAGAACCGCTCTCTGCATTTACCCAATCTCAACGGCGGTATTCTTGCGAAAACATTGGTAAAACCATGGAGGAGAACTGCGTGGTCCCGGACGTGATTGCCAAGGCCCCGGCGCAGACGGCCGTGGTGGAATACCCGTGCGACATTGTGGTGAAGCCAGGTCAGGTGCTGACCCCCACCCAGGTGAAGGACCAGCCGTGTGTGAAATGGGAGGCAGACGCCGGCAAACTATACACCCTCTGCATGACCGATCCGGATGCGCCGAGTCGCCAGGACCCGAAATTCCGCGAGTGGCACCACTGGCTGGTCGGCAACATACCCGGCGGTGATGTCGCCAAGGGCGAAGTGCTTTCCGCCTACGTGGGATCGGGTCCGCCGCCGGACACCGGTCTCCATCGCTACGTGTTCCTGATCTACGAACAGAAGTGCAAGTTGACCTTCGACGAGAAGCGGCTGCCCAACAACAGCGGCGACGGACGTGGTGGCTTCAAGATCGCCGACTTCGCCAAGAAGTACGACCTGGGCGATCCCATTGCCGGCAATCTCTACCAGGCGGAGTACGACGACTATGTGCCGATCCTCTACAAGCAGCTGGGTGCCTAACTCCTGCGCCATATAAGCAGAGAACTGTGGTTATATAAGGGCAGTCAAAATTGGATTTATAATTTGCATATTTAATGTAACCTTAAGCCTGAGAAAAAGACACTTTGTAAAACATTGTTGCTGGCAATAAAATTGTTAAAGACACCGACTGCAAAAGTGCCATAATATTTTAAATATTGTCTATCTTGTCGCTCATTTATTTAGTTTCATTATTTTAAATAGTTTGCTTTGTCCTTAGATGTAACATTAATGTAATGTTGTAATCACATTAATTGATTCACAAGGTTTTTCCACGACTAAATTCCGAGTCCATAAAAATTCCACTTCATTTTGTTGAATGAGACTTCTGTAGCACATAGTTAAAAACTTCCCAATTATTTTTCCTCTTTAAAAAAATCATTTTTGAGGGCCGGTTATTTATTCATTTAAATCATTCCAATTACATGCTAGTTTGTTTATAAATAGGATTCTTCTAGCGTCATATAAAATGTTATGTTCTTACCAAAAATCGATACACTCTTGTGTTTTGGAGATACATGTTTCAATTGCTATTGACTTCCTAGTAGGAAGTACATTTCTGATCAATGTTATATCGGGATAGTTCTTTATTTATTTAAGCATTCTGATCTAATTACAGACTACATCATATAGTCAGGGTGTTCCTTCATAATGTGTATAATAAAGGTCTTTAATACAATCTAGATACGTAATCATATACTTCATAAAATAGTCCTGAAGAAGAACCTAATTTTCGTTCGGTGATGGGACTCGTGTGTGTGTAGGTCTGGATGTTGAGAAGAGAAAGGATGTGTACTTTCAAAATTATCCGAGTTCTTTTACTCTAAAACCGGAAAAATGCTGCGATGGTCCTTCCATTCGGTTTCACTAATAGCCTGTAAGAAACAAATTCGTGATAATTAAATGGGACTTTCGAAGAGTTCGAGACCAAGAACTCACCACCAGCTCGTCAAAAGCCTGCTTGGACAACCAGTGGAAGCAGGGACTCTTCCACTCGCGGGCAATGGCCTGCTGATCCTTAACGTCCTCCTCGGCGGTGGACTTGGAATTGGTGATGGCCTTGTACTTGGCCCACAGGTAGACCATGCTGCGCATCTTGTATACCCAGAGGTCGTTGGGTATGCCGCGAATGATGTCCTGGATCTCCACCATGTTCAGCTCAGTGAGGTTGTCCAGGAAGGTGCGGTTCATCAAGGTGAAGATTGTCTTCATGGTGTCGTACGGCACATCCGCATTCTTCTCGAGTCCAAAGTGAGCGGACTTGATGATTGCATAAACCACCTGCTCCGTGGAAAGCTTGGGCAGATTGGGCAGGAAGCAGTGCTCCAGATTGAGATTACCGCACTCCAACAATTGCTGGTTGATCTCCTCGCCCACGTTCTTGTAGTCCTTCCACCAGTTGGCCCAGTCCTTGTATTTCTTCGCCTCGTGCAGCGGTGCCCACTCGGTCCTCAGGCGCTTCCTATTGCGCTTGGCGATCTTTCGAGCCGACTTGGCATCGTCGGCCACCGACTCGTCCTCCGAGTCTTCGTTGAGCACGACGGCAGCCTCCAGGAAGTCCTCCTCGGTGGCGTCCTGGTTTGTGCTGTAATTGAAGTTCTGCTCGAAGAAGGACAAGGCATACGAGTCGGCCTCCGGCTGTGGAATCTTCTTCGGCTGATCGTTCAGATAGGGGATTTTGAAGCCGCCCATTAGGAAGCCGCGCTTGCGGGCCACACGACGCCACTTCTTCACCGACTTGGAGGCAGGCTCAGTTTCCACTGGCGGAGCTGGGGCGATGCGCTTCTGACCTACAATATGTTTAAGATTATGTTAAGAGTTTGGTTTAATTTTATTTTAATGTTATGGAATATCCATAAATATAAAATTATATATTGACTGTTCTGAAGAATGTACCCTACTGAACATGAACATTTCAGAATGCGACTTACCGACTTGTACAGGTAATCCAGGGGCGTTGTTTGGCCTTTTAGCCACTCCGGCTGGGATGCCTGCTTGTGGGCCAGCCTTCACTAGATGCGGACCAGTCCTAGTTGTCTGAGGTCCCGTCCTCTGGACCAGTGGTCCTTTCTTCTGAACCTGTGGTCCAGTTCTAACAGCCGGTGGTCCAGTTTTGGCTGCCTGTGGCCCACTCCTCACGACTGCGGAACCACTCCGTGCCGCTTGTCCAGCCACCGGTGGTTTCTTGTTGACTACTGCAACTGGTTTCGGCTTGGGAGCTAAGTTGTTGACCTTATACTGAGTGGGTGGGGCATTGGGCGGTTTCTTCTGGCCTCCAACTGCATTGCCCGGACGTATGTTGGCGGGCTTGTTGGGCTGACTGTTCCTATTGTTAAGCACATTGTTCCTGCCCGTGGCAGTGACGATGGCGGCAGCTGCCCGCGGATTGTTTCGCAAGATTTGCACCGCCTTGGCGGCCGGCGGAGGTCCCGGTTTGCGGACAACCCCACCATTGTTCAGGTTCATCTTTTGAAGCTGGTTACGCTTCGTGTTGAAGGCTCGCTGGCTGGCTTCCCAGCCGGAGCTACTGGCTCCACCGCCGCCGCCGATGGCACCACCTCCTCCTCCTCCACTGTTCGATTGATAGCCGGAGTTCTGGAACGAAGAGGATTGCGACTGGGCCTGCGAGTTGTTCCAGTTGTTGCGAGAGTCGTTGAATGTGCGACTGATGTTGTTGCTGAAGCCGCCCCCAGAATTATTGCCACTATAGCCAGGTCCTCCTGGTCCTAATCCGCCGCCGCCCGGTCCTCGATTGTTGTAGTTTCCCATGTCGCGATTGTTGTCGCCAAAGTTGCCCGAGTTGTTTCCAAAGTTGCCCGAGTTTTGCCCGAAATTGCCCTGGTTTCCACCTCGTCCGTAGGAATCATTGAATCCAGATGGCTGATTATCGAAGCTCGGACCTCTTCCTGGGAAATTGTCATTGTTAAAGTTGCCCGAGTTGCGTGGATTGTTTCCTCCGTAAGAGGGCCCGTCGTTTCCTCCATACGAAGGGCCATTGTTTCCCCCGTAGGAAGGACCATTGTTGCCGCCAAAATTGGGCCCGTCGTTGGGTCCAAAGGAAGGCCCATTATTTCCGCCAAATGAGGGACCCTCGTTGTGACCAAAGTTGCCGAACGAACCCTGATTCTGATTCCGGGGCACGTCGTTGAAGAATCTGTCGCTGTTGTTCTGTGACTGCGGGCCGCGATAGCTATTCTCCGGATGGCGCAATTCCGAATTGAAATTTCCGGAGGCTCCGGCATTGCGGTTGCCGAAATTCTGTGACGACTCAAGTTCCAGTAAACGCGCCAGGTTGCCCAAATTGGATTGTCCCCTATTCATATTTGATGATCCATAGTTGGATAGCTGCTGCTGCTGATGTCCCCGGTAATTGTCTTGGAAATCATCGCCGGAGTTGCCGCCGAAACGCTGATTGTTTGGATTAAAACCGGAGCGATCGTCGCCGGAACGTGGATAGTTGTTGTTGTTGCCGCCGCCGCCGCTGAAGTTGTTGTTGTAGCTACCACCAAAGTTTGAGGAATACATTCCACCTCCGCCTCCACCACCGGAATTGCCCATTCCACGCCGCTGGCCAATGCCGTAAGCGTCGTTCTTCATTTGGCGATAGTCCATCCCGACTTTTGCTTACCCGGAGTCACCTAATCGTTGGCCACTCTGCTCTGCGCTATTGATTCACACGCTGCTCGACGCTTTTCAACACAATTAATGCGGCCCAGAAAAATGCTCCCCGATTTTTTCGCACTCTGTCAACCAGGGTTGCAACGCAATGGAAGCCGGCTACACAAAAAGGTAACAAATCCCATATACGGCGTCGGTATTTTTTACTCAAAAATACTAACTTCAGCCGAAAGAATACCACCATCATATTTTTTATAGCGGGATTTTTTAAACGAGATTTAAGATGTAAAAAAAAAGGGTTAAAGACGGATTTTGAGATAAAGGCATAAATATGGGCTAATACGTTGCTTTATAATCATTAGTGCTATCGTGTTAATATAATTTTTCACAGATTGTCGTTAAAGAAGAACAAACAAAATAATAATAATAAATAAAGATAATTTATTTGAATTAGGCTCAAAATAAACCCTTGAGGGGGAGCATGGCTTTTTAGCTTTTTTTTATTATTATATTATTATTTTAAATGAGTTGATTTTATGTTAAGAATGTAGCGCTAAATTTTATGTCGATCAGAGCAAAATTTACGAAGGTATGGATATGTTTATAACTTTTTAAATTAAGTTTAATTATATATTTGTACTGTTTGTTATGAATCCTAGCTAGGCACCAACTAATCCTTTATTCATGAACTTACTTTCCTTTAAAATAAACTGAAGCTTTGTGCCGCTGTCAAAATTAGAAACCCACAGAATCTTGGTCATGAATTATCGTCAGTCAGTTTCTAAAAAAAATGAAATGAAATTCGGGCTTTTTATTTTTTATTTATTTTTATTATACATTGACATAAACACAGTGAAATTGGTAGCTTCTGAATTGGTTTTTATCAACATTATCACACTGCCAATGATTTATTAAATAAGGCGAACACAAGTATTGTGTTATATTTGTGTATTTAGTTACTAAAAACAGGAATGCGGATCTGGAGCATCTGAAAGAACAAAGAATAAAATTAAAATTTTATAAAATTGCTTCTCCTTTGGGCTAGGCTATCGGAGTGTTACCTTGCTGGTCTTATCGAATAGAGCCTGGGCACGATCCTGTTGCAGACGGTAATTGACAAATTTGTCAAACACATAGCCATGCCTCGGAGACTCCACCAGGATACGATCGTCTCCAACATCAAGACTGACCTCCTGCGAAGATACCTGCGGTGCAAAGAGATTTTATAAGTTTCTTTTCGTAAAACCTGTAAAAAATATCAATTGCGACTGTTTTAGCTTACACAATTTGGTAGGTAAATTTCAGCGTGGATTTCATCAACGGCATCGTTTCGAACTCGAGCGCGAAGTTTGTACTGCAACTCCTGATTTCCGGCTGCCAGTTGGCGGCTGTTTCTGATGGCCGCCGCATCCTTCTCGTTGATCTCCTGAACCAATTTGCCAGTCTTGTCTTGTGTCACCACCTGATCCTGGCCGGTAATAGCAGATGGGCCTGCAGTCGCCGGCTGAGCCTTTTGAACATCCTCGTTGCGCACTCGATGGGACACCAGAGTGCCGATGAACTTGCGATTGTTCAGGATAATGGTCTTTTCCATGTTGAGCTGCACATTGTATTTTTCACTCATGGCCTCGGCCACAATTTGCAGAAAGAAGTTGTTGAACAACTGCGATTTCTGGATCTTTACCAGAAACTTTGGATTGATGGCAATGTCGCAGACATCGACGGTTTTGTCGGAACGATCCTTTGTGTGTCTTGGCTCCGAGATGCTCATGGGCACCCGGTACGAACCGGGCGTAGTGGACTCCAGTATGGCAATCAGTTCCTCTTCGGTGACATCTTGGGGTGCCGGAACTTCCGGAGCCTGGCACACATTAATGAAGAACTTCTCATCGCTATTCAACTTAAAGCTCTTTACGCAGAAACCTGTGGAGAAGGCGGAAAAGGGAAACGAAGTGGGTTATTAGAGATTATTCTCAGCAAAGTTTCATGTAACTAATCAATCCTATGCTGAATTCAAGCGTAGTTTTCCTTTGCAGAAGCTATGTATGTATATCCATGATTTATTTGGTTTGGTTTTCATTCTGTATACAATCTATTGTACATAAAGTTTAAAGTTATTTGGGTAAGAAGGTGCGCAATTAAATTATCCTTTCAAACCAGGATAGATTTTATTGTGATCCGGCCAGGCGATCTCGCTGATTGCCTATAAATAGAAGTAAGGTAAGTCGTTAGTTGATTCCTGGGGAAGATGAACAAATCAAAACACCTGACAACAAGATTATGCTGGACATTTTCAGCATTTAAAGATTGTTAGCACGTGATTTTTGTTCCTTGAAACATTCACTCTCACCTTGAGCTCATCGAAAGCTTGCTTGGCCAGCCAATGGAAGACTGGATTCTTCCATTCCCGCGCAATCGTCTGAATTTCCTTTGCCTTGTGCGCATTTTTTGCGACTGGACTCTTTAGAGTGGCATGGTACCTCTCCCAGAGGTAGAGCATGCTGCGTATCTTGTACAGCCATAGGTGATTGGGAATGCCACGGATCAGGTCCTGCAACTCCTCCATTTGCTTCTTGGACAATTTCTCGAGGAATGTCTCGTTCATCAGAAGGAATATGGAGCGCATGTTGCGGTAGTGGCTGAAAGTATTCTTCTCCAGACCCATGTGACCCAGTTTGAACACCTGATTGACCACGTGTGCGGATTTGGCCTTTGGTGACGAGGGACCGAAGCGGTGGCGCAGTGAGCGGTCGCCGTACTTCTCCAGCTTCTTGTTGATTTCGCTGCCGCACCACTTGTAATCACGCCACCAATTGTGCCAGTCCTTGTAGTTATTATTCCTATAGATTTTAGTCCACTCCTTACGCAACTGGGAGCGTAATTTCTTCTTGGAGTTGCGATGGTAAGCCCCTGACTGAACCCCAGATCGATTGGAGTCCAGAGACTCAGATTCAGATACGTCATCATCATCATCCTCCTCCGCAACAATTGCTCCATCGTCGGTGGCATATATGTTTGTGTTGTAGATGGGCGTTTGCTCGAAGAAGGTCACCGCATAGGAATCCTCCTCTTTTTGTGGCAGCTTCTTGCTCTCGTCCTTGATATAGGGCAAGCGAATTCCGGCTATAATGAAGCTCCGATTGGAGTCCACCTTCTGGCGCTTGGGGTCCGCTTTCTTAGACCCATTTTGGGCACCCAACCCTGCGGCATCCGCTTCCCTTTTTTGCCCTGCAAAATGTAATATGGCTGTTTATATACTTTGTAGGTGAATTTAACGACTCGGGAATGCAAACCAGGGCAACAGTTGTGAGGGTTTCAATTGGAAAGAAATACAACTTCATTATTTGGTTCAGTTTTGTACCGTCTGGTATCTCAACTTGCTTTTTATTATTTAGATTCAGAAAGAGTTCTTCGCAATTGCAATTACAATAAATAACAAAGGAAAATCTTTTCTGAAGAATATTTAAGTTGCGATCGTAATCGCTCTATGTATAAAGTAGACCCGTTGGGGATCACATTTTAAGATAAAATATTTATTCAGCCGGTTTGCATTCCAAACTACATCTATGTGTAGTTTTAAACCAATTAAAACGGAAGAGTTGGTAACTAAACTTGTTGGTTCGTTCTAAGTTTGGTTTTTAATATGAATTTAAGAACTTGACCCTTACCAGCGCGTGGGTTTGCCATGACCGCGTTGTTCTTGGTTGGATTGGTGTTCTTAGTGCGGATTGCCGGTTGTTTAGTTTTGTTCTGAATCGGTGCACGATTGTTTGGCGGAACGCCTGGCTTCTTATTATTTGGATTTAGAGCACCAGGTTTTCCATCTTGTAGTTGGTTTGGATTTGGTTTGTTTTGACTGGGAGCATTAACATTCCTTGATGCACTGCGATCTAGACTTGTTGATGTATTTGGGCGGATTTGATTGGGTCCGCCGGAATTCCTGGATGAGCCACGCTTTTGAGCTGTTAATGAATTTGATCTTTGATTGTTATCTGGACCGCCAGGAATAAAGTTTGCCCTTGGGTTGCGCTCCAGACTTGGTTTGCGGTGTACTTGGCCACTGGGATTTATGTTCCTGGCCATGTTCCGATCTAGACTTGTTCGGGGATGATTTGCATTTGTTTGGATTTGATTTGAACTAACCGAATTGGCGTTTCTTTGAGCAATTCTATCAGCGATTGGTCTGTTGGGATTGAGACCTCCAGATTGCTGGCTATCGCGGTAACGATTACCAGAGCCCGATCCGCGATCAATAGTCTGCTGATACTGGTGGTTCGGTGGAAAGTGGCGGTTATTTGAGCCCCGGAATGCTGCAGTTTCTCTTGGGGGAAGGCGTTGTGTGTCAGCGCCACGTGAAGAGTTGTTCCGCTGATCGAAATCGTCGTTTAAGTTGTGCGGACGATCGGGTTCGCGATCAAGCTGGCGCCTATTGTCGTCAAAGTGGCGATCGCGTCCATATGAATTATGATCATCGCTGTAATGTTCCCTGGAGATGGGTTGGTTTCCCTTAAAGTTTCGCTCTTCGCGGTTGCGGACATCTGGTCTTTTAAAGTTATCGTGCTGATGTCCATGAAAACCATCATCGTGCATGATGGCATAATTTTCTGCCTCGATGAAACGGGGATCTTCGATAAAGTTGCGTTCATTCGACATATAGTTGCCACCGTCTAGATCTCGTTCGTTGGCGTCAATCCAATCAGTGCGACAGAGTGTTATTTGATTGTTATTGACAATACGTTGGTAATTGCGATTAGCTTGGGGTTCAGGATTTCCGCCAAAGTTGTCGTTCACTTCGCGAATGTCCTGGTCCACATAACGCTGCGGTTGTGGATGGTTGTCAGGTGAGTGGAATCGATCTCTGGGCAGTTGAAAGTTTTCAACTAAGTTGCCATGTTGATTGATTATCGAATTTCGATCCAAGCTGGTTGGTTGATTATGACCAAAGTCCTGAATGTTAGGCCCACGATTATAGTTCATCCGGGGGTTGACAAAGTTCGAGGCATTATCTCTAATATTTTGTTGCTCACCACGAATGTTGGTGTTGCGATTTAATCCTTGGACATTTTGTATATCGACATTGGGTTCCTGGTTGCGGTTAAATTGCCGTGGATTCGCATAGCGATTAAGTCCTTGCGGACACAAATCGCGATTGTTTTGATTGAATTCATCCGAATTTGGATTACTGCGATTAAACTCCAGCGGACCAACAGTACCATTGTTTCGATTCATTTCATCAGCGGTAACATTTCGATTATTTCGATTAAATTCATCGTTGTTAAAATTACGATTATTACGAGTAAAATCTTGCAAACTTGCATTTCTATTGTTGCGATTATATTCCTGCGGATTTGCATTTCTATTAGAGCGATTGAATTCCTGTGGATCTCTGTTCAATTCATTTGCATTACGATTAATGCGATTATCATCTCGATTTGGATTTACATTTCGATTGCCATGAAATTCCTGTGGATTCGCACCACGATTATTGCGATTGAATGCCGGCTGATTTGTACCACGATTATTATGAACGAATGCATCAGGTCTTTTGTTTCGGTTTAATTCCTGATTGTTCGCATTTCGATTAAGTTCCTCAGTATTCATGGTACGATTATTGCGATTGATCGGAAAATTAATTGGTCCAGAATTTCTATGGATTGCTTCCTCAGTATTCACGCTATGATTATTGCGATTGACATCTTGGTTTCGATTGATCGGAGCATTATGGGGTCCCGAATTCCTTGGGACTGCAAATCCCCGACTGTTGTCCCTCCGGCCTTGAAATTCGTCCTCCCTTTGTCGGTTCCTCGGACGCGACCGATCAATCCGCCCCGGCGAAGTATCCCGGCTAATGGTGTGCCAATCAATGTTCCTCGGCGGCGATGGAGTGCGTGGACGTGACTCTGCGTCGTCCTGGCTCTCCACCGCTTCCCCGATGGCCCGCAGCACCTCCTTGTCCACTACATCCTGACGACTGTCGCCCAGCTCGACGCTGAGGCGGAACCGCTGGCGCTGGAAGTGGCGCAGGTTGAAGTTGGGCACCTTAAAGGTGCGCTGTGCCAGGGCGTTGGCCAACATCCGACTGGCGCCCAGCTCCCGGAGAAACTGACGGCGGTTGTCCAGTTCGTTGTTTCCTAATTTCATGGTACCACCACATACAATTAGAAATTCAGGTTTGGGGTTAGAGCAATTTTAAACGACAATCTATTCATGACAATATTGTCAAAATATGCAGTGCTCGCCAGTAAGTATTTTATAATTTAAATAACAATAATCTAATAATATTTTAAGCGAGTCATAGCAAATATTTATCGATTATCAACACGTATAAATATGTGGATAAAATTAATTGCAATAACTCAATGCATGAAATAATAAAACCTAATTGATTTCAAACGCATTAATACTTGATTACCAATAGTCGTTATCAAATAGCTGACTAAAGTTGATTTTCGCTGTTTTTGCCAATCTATGGAAGATCTAATGACATTATCTGTTATTTTAATTTAAACATTTACTCGTATCGATTAGATAAGCAATGCTATCAATTTTATTTATAGAATTTTAAATACTTGGCTTCTATTTCCAAAACCACTGCATTAAGAAATAAAAATTAAGTAAAAAATCAAATGCGCGCACGTAGAAACTACAATAATAGTAATGGTCATGCTTATACCAAAAACACGGAGAATACGAAAGTAAACACCCACTGAAATCCTCACAATTGGGAACTGCCGGTGATATGGTTATCAGTCAGGGGCTTCTGTTGCTCTTGTGACAACAAAATGCTTAAGAGTGTGATGACTGTTTTGCTTTACACGCTTGCAAATAATTTCACCAGAGCCGGAAAGCCCCATAGCTTCATAATGCTCGTATATTACTTAAAAGCGTGGAAGAGAGCGGCGTCGCTATGTCTCTGTATCTTATAGAGGTTTTATTTTTTCTGGCCAAATATGGCCCTAAATGTATATGAGCCTTGCTGGCCTGGGTTTTAATTGATCGGTGGGCCAAAAAAAAAGAGCAACGGCAAACGTTTTCTATTGTGTATACAAATGCTCTTGATTTCTGCGTTTCTCCCGCTCAGCGGCTATTATCTCATTTTTGATTTGAGCACGGAAAGGCAAAACAAATAAGTTTGTTCACAGCGCTTGGCTCGAATTCAGTTGCCCATTTAGCTCGTAACGAGCCGGTTGTCCGTGGTTTTTTTGTGGTCTGCTGCTGCTGCTGCTGCTGGTGCTGCCCTCCATCCAATACCGATCCCAACCGCTCCGAGTCGAGTCGATTCGATTCTATTCGCTCCGATCCGATCCGATCCGTTTGAATCGCAGCGACTTTTTTCCTACGCAGAGGTAATTATAAGTGACATTTCAGTCGCATCGATACTGTCCATTGAGGTTTTTGTTGCTGCAGCCCGCCAAAGCGGAACAAGAGTGTGTGTGTGTGTGTGTGTTTGTATCTATGTGAAATTTATCTGCTTTTCGTTGTGGGTGCGAAAGTTATTTTTCCGATATTGTGAAATTTTCGAAGTGCTCCAGAGAATCCCGCGAAAAACATTCCTAAAAATGGCTGAGGTGATTCACTATCGGAATTGTTTGATAATAACCGTTAGTGTTTTGTCATGCTTGTAGAGCGATTATTTAATTGATAAAATATGTATAATTGGAGTGCGCAAGGTTGTTTTTAATTCAAATGCAATTACACAGCGATGGAAACTACATAGTTGCCTCGTGGGCTCCACTGTATCCACTGTGCTGACGTCAGAGGCCTTGAGAGATGGTGTTCTATAGTTTCGACATCTTCTCCCATAACGATGATAATCAGTTAGAAAAAAAGAGCTCCGGAGCTTTCAAGGAGACGAAGCAGCAACTGGAGCAAACAAGTGTGCGATAAGCCACAATATAAGGATTATAAACTGCAATTCATAACTAGAGTAACGACAAACACAATGGAAGAGTCTAGTATATGGGACCGATAAGGTTCATTCCGATAAGGAACAGCTTATAAAAATCATTGTGGCTACAGGGAAGTGTCTCATTTTTTGGAGTTTGCACTTAGCAATATGCAATTTTCCTTATCTCTCTTTAAGTCTTAATAAAGACAGCGCCGTGTCAAGTGTCTTTAACATTTTGTAAATAAATCACGTTTGTTTGTCGTATATAAACAATTTATGCCGGCTGGTAAAATCCAAAGCAAACAAATAAGGTGTCAAGTAAGAGAAGAGTTCTCAATTGGTTTTGGGCAGAGAAAAATCACCCGCTTTTTATTGGAGAGTAGGGATCTCGGTTCCGTTTCGCTTAGCATCTCATCGTGACTCGGCGTTTTCTATGTGCGCTCAAGAGAAATTTCGCCTAAGACAAAGCAACTCTCATTTTGTGCAATTGAAAATTACTTTTGCTGGGGGTTTTCGTCTGCCGATTGTTGTGTTGTGCTGTATTATATAATCGCTGCGGGAACAGGTTTCGCCATTAATTATATCGAACTTAAAATACCCGTTCCTTCTGTGCTAGAATTTTATCTAAGGCCGCTTGCTTAAAACACATGCGTAAACGGGCAAACAAGTTTTTGGCGTCCATAAAATGTGACCAGCCCAACGCCTCTATCGAAATTTGCGGCTCCGGTCAAGATTAGCTCCGAGTTAGTCTTTCTTCTCTTTGTGTAAATTAATTCTTCGAGGCGGGCAAACTAGTTTTGCGTTGAATATTTGTCATTGACAATGATTGTTGGACAATAAACCATCGATTCAAGTGGGCAAGCGATGAGACCTTCCACGAAGTACCCTGTGCATGTAAACACTTATCGGCGCATAGCACACAATTACGAGGGGCTAGATTACAAACTATTCTAATCAACCCTTTTAACCCTCAAGAGCAGCATTCTTTGAGATATACATACATACATATGCATGCCATTTGAATCTCATAAATCAATAACATTGAATTTTAATGAATATTAATAACAATTTGAAAAAAAAAAATGTGATTAAGAAACAAATTATTTTTCATGGCTAATACTTATAAATTTAAACTGATTTTCATTTCTAGAGGGTAAATTAAAATATATATACATATATATAAAATTATATTAAAAATAAATTTCCCATTCGGACTCTAAGAATTTTTTATAAAAGCAAGGAAAGTTCTATATATTCTACAAAAAAATATAGTTAATTGAATTTATTATCCATATCTTGTTTTTTGCTTGTAATAATGATTTTTTAAAAAAGCTAGGCATTTGAGAGTTAAAATTTGGGCAGATAATATTGGTGTCATCGCCCTTTCGGTTATTAATATATATCAGTATCTGTCATATCGCGCGTTCACGTTCGCCTGTTCTCCGTTTGTCTTATCGCGGGTTTACTGTACCGCTCTCAGGCGCAATCGATAGCGACGTGAGATGTTTATCTGGCTGACATGGTTCAGCACTCGTAGAGATTGGCGACAGTAATCATAAGTGACATAGACCATAAAGTCTGGTGTCATGCCTAGCCGGCTAGAAATTCCTGGATTCTCCGCGCTACCGCTCGCCATTTCAGTGCCCTGAAAAATCCCGGTTATCGCAATGGACGCCACTCACCTGCGGTCGGCTGAACAATTAGCGAATCCCGCGGCGGAGGCTTTTGCTGGCCACTTCCGCCCGGATTCGCACCTCCGAAGAACTGGTTGATGTTGTCCTCAAACTCGTTCTGCATTAATTAATACAAATTGAAGTGGTTTCAAAATTCTCTAATTCGCATTCTTCGTGTCTTTCTTACCCGCACGAATCGCAAGTTCTGCTCGCGAAAATTGTCGTTGCCCTCAATGAAATTTGAGCGACGCGCCATTTTGCACCACGCTATTAACAGTCAGGCACGATTTAAAACAAATGTAAAACTATTTTTATGCTTTGCCACTCGCAGAAAACAAAAATTTTTTATCTGCTTTAACGGAGCTGTCAACTCGTTTGAAAAAAATAATTGTGATAGTGTGACCATCCGTAGAATGTTCTGATTTGCTAGAAACCAGTAAAATACTAGAAACAAATTGTGTGGCCATGTTAATGTCACGTTTACAATGGGGTTCCACGAAAGTTTTCGCTGTAGAGGAAAAAAATGTACAATTGTAGAAAAAATATAACAAAAAGTTAACAGAATTTAAGATGTTACTATTTTTTATTTAAAGGTTTACCTAATGATATTTAATAAGCATGAAGACAATTAAAGACCTGGGAGGAACAATATAGATAAAAATTTAATTTCTAATATTCCTATAAAACTATTTGGAAACTTGTTTTACAATATTAGCATCTTGACCATATAAAATCGCAAATTTTATTTTATTATATCATTAAAATTATTTTTTCATTCAAAATAACTGAAAAATGAGTTTCATAAGTACCAACGATTTTTAAGCATAATCTCCAATTATTTACCACTGTACTTCAAAACAAAATACCACGAAAAATACCGGTGTAAAGACACACCTCGTTCCACTGCCGCGATTAGCGGTTGTTGTAGTTGCTGCGGCTTGGGAAGGAACAGCTGTTGGCCAGCAAATATATAGATCCGTTGCTTCCTTTTCGTCATTACAGTTACCACATCGCCCGATATAGCACTGTTCACAGCCCAATTGCACTTGGAGCAGGTTGTCGAGAAGACGAGCGACCATGGCGGAGGACACAAGTTCGCCGATGGACAGATTTTGCGGTTCCACATTCTGGGTGAGTGTGCCTCCTTAGTTGCGCCTGAGGTCGAGGAAGTACATATATATTTTCCGTTTATCCGGTGAACAGAACGCTTCGGAGACATGGTGGACCGACGATCCGGACTTTACGCCGTGCTTTGAGCAGACGGTGCTGGTCTGGACGCCCTGCGCCTTCTACTGGTGCTTCGTGATCTTCGACTTCTACTATCTGAAGGCGAGTCTGGACAGGAACATACCCTGGAACAAGCTGAACGTGAGCAAGGCCCTGGTGAATCTGGGTCTGCTGGTGATCACTGCCCTGGACCTGATAATGGCCCTGATCAAGAAGGGCGGCGACTCCGAGCTGCCGCTGTACGACTTGGATGTGTGGGGTCCCATCATCAAGTTCGCCACCTTCCTGCTGATCTTTATATTCATCCCGCTGAATCGCAAGTACGGAGTGCAGACCACGGGATGCCAATTCCTGTTCTGGTTCCTGCTGACCGTGCTCTCGATTCCGCGCTGCCGCACTGAGGTTCGGCAAGATGCGGACCGCCAGAAGATCCTGGACTCGCAACAGGACACGGAGCACAACTTCTTCTGGGAGGAGTACCAGTTCGTCAGCTTCTTCGTCTCATTCACCTTCACCTGCATCATGCTGATCCTCAACTGCTTTGCGGACGGCATGCCCAAGCAAACCAAGTATCAGAGGGGAGAGAACGAGATACCCGAGCTGTCGGCCAGTTTCATCTCGAGGATCACCTACCGGTGGTTCGATAGCATGGCCCTCAAGGGCTACCGCAACCCGCTGGAGGAGAAGGACCTCTGGGACCTGCGGCCGCAGGACAGCTGCTCCGAGGTGATGCCCATCTTTGCCCACCACTGGAACCAGAACGTGCGTAAGAACTACAAGGGCAGGGCCCGCGTGGAGCCGAAGGCGCAGTTTAGCAACGGACACGTGACCTTCGAGAATCCCCATGGCGAGAAGAATGGCCGCAAGAAGGGCATGGCCAGCATTATGCCGCCCATCTACCGATCCTTCGGAGGCGTTTTCCTGTTTGGCTCCCTCATGAAGCTGTTCACCGATGTCCTGACATTCGCCCAGCCGCAGGTCCTCAGCCTGATCATTGGCTTCGTCGAGGCCCACGAAACGGATCCGCAGCCCGAGTGGAAGGGCATCATGTACTCCGTGTTGCTTTTCGTATTGGCCGCTGCACAGACCTTTATTCTGGGTCAGTACTTCCACCGCATGTTCATCGTGGGCCTGCGCATCAGGACAGCTCTGATCAACGCCATCTACCGCAAGGCCCTGCGCATTTCAAACTCCACCAAAAAGGAATCGACCGTGGGTGAAATCGTCAACCTGATGGCCGTGGATGCCCAGCGTTTCATGGAGCTGACTACCTACCTGAATATGATCTGGTCGGCGCCTCTGCAGATCGGTCTAGCCCTGTATTTCCTCTGGCAGCAGCTGGGACCGTCTGTCCTGGCCGGTCTGGCTGTGATGATAATCCTTATACCCGTGAACGGAGTGATTGCCAGCCGCATCAAGACCTATCAGATCAGGCAGATGAAGTACAAGGATGAGCGTGTTAAGCTGATGAACGAAGTCCTGAGTGGCATTAAGGTGAGTGATTCTAGGATTAGGAACACATGAAAGGGATATAAACCCTAATCCCTTAAAACAGATAATTATCCAATGTCTTACTGACTGCGGTTAGGATTACGATTGCACGCTAATCTTTTCCATTGCCATCCCTGACAGGTCCTCAAATTGTACGCCTGGGAGCCGAGTTTCGAGAAGCAAGTGTTGGACATCCGTGACAAGGAGATCGCAACTCTGCGATCCACCGCTTACCTGAACGCGGGCACCTCGTTCCTGTGGTCCTGCGCCCCCTTCCTGGTAAGATATGCCAGCCCCGCAGGGCTCTGAGTCCTCCGAGATTTCTTTACAGCTGACCGAGATGAGAGAGATGATGACGTATAGCATTGGATTAATCTGGCAAATATATGTACTTCGTGTCCGCACAATCAAAGGTATCCTTGGTCACGTTCGCCACTTACGTGCTGACCAGCGAGGCGAATCAGCTGAGCGTCGAGAAGGTGTTAGTCTCAATCGCCCTCTTCGACCTCATGAAACTCCCGCTGACCATCCTGCCCATGCTGAGTGTTGACATAGCCGAGGTACGGCGACAACGACGATGATGGAGTTTCAAGCTCTTCGGCTATGGTGCATCTCCGCCTCCTCTTTTCCATCAACTTCGAGACAAGGATCAAGAACATCCATTTTAGCAACGCCTTAAACGATATTGTGTATTATCTTTTAGGTTTCATTAGTTACATTCGCCACTTACGTTCTAATCGATAAAAATAACGTGCTTGATGCCACAAAAACCTTTGTCTCATTATCATTATTCAACATTCTCCGTTTTCCGTTAACAATGTTGCCCATGCTGATCACCAACCTGGTGCAAGTAAGTTACGCTCGATTGCAATACCAAATACTACCACTTTGTCGATCTCAGTGGGGCTGAGCGATTATATTTTCTATTTTCTATATAAAACTCAGACTAATCGCCGGCCCCACTGAGATCGACCGTTTTGTGCCGTTTTGTGATTGTGATTTATGTTTATTTACTCAATTTGAATTCTTTTTTAGCCAAAGCAAATATACACCAAAAAATATCCCTCTAACCAATGTTTCCCTTTCCTTCATTGATATCTTCCACTTATTTTTTCCATTTAAATTTCTCATTCGCCTGGAATTTAAAGGTGTCCGAACCAAACCAGTTCCGATTTGTCGTAAATTTGGTGGTGGGGAACCTTTCTATCAGTTTCAAAAGAAACCATTTGTTTGGGTTTTAAAATATGCCCTTGCAGAGGGTAATTTAGGTGGACTTAATTGTGGGTCAAGTGAAGACATGAATATTTGTCCGTGTGCTTAGAAAGAAATACGTGATTTGTAGTCAGTTAGGTGAAAACCTTTAAAGAAATTAAACCTTAAGAAATTATAAAACCAATCGCGAATTTAATTCTTTAAAAACTTTTATCTCACCTTTATTTTACGAATTGGATTATCATATCTCATCCCAAATCTTCAGACCCTTCCTTTTATGTGTTCTGCAGGGGTATATAAAAGCCTCGGTAGACTCCGAGTATATTCCTCATTTATTCCGTTTTGGGTTATTACATTTTTCCCCATCTGCCCCATCATTCTTTTCCTTTCCCAAAACCTTTTACTAACATATTCTGTGTACCACAATAACGCATATTGTGCAAACCATTCTAATCGACTTTCCAATTTCCATGTGCGAACGAATAGACGCAAGTTTCTGTGGATCGTATAAATAAGTTCCTGAACAGTGAGGAACTGGATCCCAACAGCGTTCTCCACGATTCCTCCAAACGTAAGCACATTAACTTGGCATGAAATCTTTGTGATTAACATACTCATTATACTTATAGCCCATCCCATGAGCATTGAGAACGGCGAGTTCTCCTGGGGCGATGAGATCACGCTGCGCAACATCAACATCGAGGTGCACAAGAACAGCCTGGTGGCCCTGGTGGGCACCGTGGGCTCCGGTAAGTCCTCGGTGGTGCAGGCCTTCCTCGGCGAAATGGAGAAACTTGCGGGCGTTGTCAACACCGTGGGCAAGTTGGCCTATGTGCCGCAGCAGGCGTGGATTCAGAATGCGACGGTGAGGGACAACATCCTGTTCGGCAAGCCCTACGACCGCAAGCGCTACAACAAGGTGATCGAGGCCTGTGCCCTGCGCGCCGATATCGACATCCTTTCGGCGGGAGATCTCACGGAAATCGGTGAGAAGGGCATTAATTTATCAGGTGGCCAGAAGCAGCGTATTTCGTTGGCCCGTGCCGTATACAGTGATGCCGATCTCTATCTACTGGACGATCCCCTGAGTGCCGTGGACTCCCATGTGGGTAAGCACATTTTCGAGGAGGTGATTGGACCCAAGGGCATGTTGGCACGCAAGTCACGCGTGCTGGTCACCCATGGCGTCACGTTCCTGCCCCAGGTCGACAGCATCTACGTGCTGAAAATGGGCGAGATCAGCGAGAGCGGCACCTTCGACCAGCTGGTAAAGAACAAGGGTGCCTTCGCCGACTTCATCATCCAGCATCTGCAGGATGGCAATGAAGAGGAGGAGGAACTCAACCAGATCAAGCGGCAAATCTCCAGCACCGGAGATGTCCCTGAGTTGCTAGGCAGTGTCGAGAAGGCCATTAAGTTGGCGCGCACGGAAAGCTTGTCGGATTCCATGTGAGTAAATGGTGCTTAAATTATATTTATTTATATACTAATTAATTGAATATTTGTTTTTTAGCTCGGTTACCTCCGCTGACAGTTTAATGGGCGGAGGCGGAGGAGGAGGAAGTCTTCGTCGGCGGACCAGGCGCCAGAATTCCCACGACTCAGTGGCCTCAGCCGCTTCGTTGAAGAAGAAGCAGGAGGTCGAGGGCAAGCTTATTGAAACAGAAAAATCACAGACCGGTGGAGTGGAGTTCGCCGTGTACAAACATTATATCAAGAGCGTTGGCATCTTCCTGTCGGTGGCCACGCTGGTGCTGAACTTCGTTTTCCAAGCATTCCAAATCGGGTCGAATCTGTGGCTCACCAAGTGGGCCAACGACCAAGACGTGGGCAACGACACTGGCCTCAGGGACATGTATCTGGGTGTTTATGGTGCCTTTGGATTCGGTCAAGGTAAGTCCATTGTAATTCGACTTAGTTCGATACTTTTTATTTGAAATTATTCTTGTTTCATGTTCGTTTTGTCCATTTTGTTGTGTTAGATTAAGTTTGTTTTAGTTGTTTTGTTTTTATTATTTTATTGCATGTTTTTGCTTATTTTTTATGCCTTTTATGTTTTCCTTTTTGTAATTTGGTTTTGTTATTTACATTAAGAAGAAAGATGGTGTCACAGAATGAAAAATACATTATAAAATTAATACTTAAACCCAAAAATATTTACATATTAAACTTAAACAAAAGATACAATATTATAAAATGTTTTTTTTCATTTTGTCACCATCTTTTTTAGTTTATTATATGTTTGATTTGGGGTTTTCATTTATGTTTGGCTTTTTTAATTGTTTCTAACCTTGGCGCCAAGAGAACACATGCTGCTCAGCTACCTTAAGTCGGCTTTAATTAGCTTTAACCCCAATCTTTGGCCGTTCACAAAACTCATATGCAAAGCACCCAAAGCTAACAAGCACTAACACCTCAAACTAAGTAGTTTTATTTAATGCTGCACGCTTAGCAAACCAAACACGAAAGGCTTTCTATATTTATAAACAATATTAATATTTGTCTTACCCAACGTACACTAAATTGTTCTGATATCGATAATTATGAATTGGTTATCGATCGATTGTGATTGATGTTATTGTATATCAGAACATTAAACCTAACCAACTTAACTAACGGTTCCCCCTTGTGTATGTGTGTTTGTGTGCGTAAATGTGTAAATTGATTAATTTCACAAACAATATTATACTTTGGCAATATTTTTGGACACCGCCTAACTCACAAAAACAAAATTATCGATCAATAATCGCCAAAAATCGATACAAATCCACCGCAAATTCTAGTCGCGACGAACTTCTTTTCATCCCTCGCCATCTCATTGGGTTGCCTCGAGTGCTCGCGGGTATTACATCAGACCCTGCTCTACTTTAATCTCCGCTGGCCCATGGAACTCTTCGACACGACGCCGCTGGGACGGGTTGTCAATCGGTTCTCCAAAGATATCGATACAATCGATAATGTGCTGCCATTCAACATTCGTGTCGTCATTGGTCAGGCATACATGGTAATTGATGGAATTCGGAGCAGACGCATTAACGAACGCCACTATGAATATTAATCAATGCACGGCACTTAATAATCAAAACGGAAAATCGGATCACTCTATATATATCATGGTTCGGCCTGGCTCATCATGCATTGCCACATACTAACAATAATAACATTCTTCCGTACTCTTTATTTTCTCTTTAACAATTTTTAATGTTGCTGTTTAAGGCCTTAGCCAATTTAGCTTGTGAAATTTTAATATCATAAGGTTTTTAATCAAAGTCTCTATCAGATTTTAATAACGATACAAATTTTGCAATCTACTTAAAGTATAGAATCGCTTCTGTAAAAGTCTATTAATTTAAAGAAAGTAATATTCAGATAACGATCATGCTTTTATGATAATTATTTATAAACTATAAAGCTTCTTTTGAAAAGTATACTTCAAATCCATTAAAATAACTTAAATGAAAATGCAAGGGAAAAAAAGAGAGCACGGCAGGATATCATCGTCGGTGGGCAAGAGGTTTTGTTGCGTACCTGGTCATTACCTGATTTACCCCTATCCTCGCTCTCTTCGAAGTTATGTCAGGATATCTGTCCACCCTGATCCTTTCGCTGGGCTGCGTTTACAGTGCCCGATATATGCACAACGTCCTGCTTCATGGCACCATGCGTTGGCCAATGGAAATGTTCGACATCACGCCCCTGGGTCGAGTTGTGAATCGCTTTTCCAAGGACATAGACACAGTTGACAACACCCTGCCACTCAACTTGCGGGCCGGCATATTGCAATTGTTTATGGTAATTACCAAAGAAGGAACATTCCAAAAAAAAAACCCCCAATTCCCATCCTCAGCTGAGTAGGTTAGTTCTCCTCTGTGAGTTGTCAAGGCTTTTTAGAATGTTTTGTCCACGCTTCAATTAAATTTTGATCAAACTTAGTTATAAAAGAACTTAACTTAACTTTCCAGTTACCTCATATTTCTTTTGTTCGCTCACACTGGCACTTGGATGCATCTACTGCTCCAAGGAGCTGCACGAGAGGCTTTTGACCTTCGTCTTCCGCTGGCCCATGGCGCTGTTCGATACCACACCCCTTGGGCGCATTGTCAACCGCTTCTCGAAGGACGTCGACACGATCGACAATGTCCTGCCGATGCTTTGGCGCATGGTCATAAGTCAGGCGTTTGCGGTAATTGCCTATAAATTTGGGAAGGGCCTTTCAAAGCTTAGACTCTTAACTTAAAAGAAGTAAAAAAGTTGTAAAGATATTTAACCTATCTGAAATTAATTAAAATTATTTTTATCTATTACTTTGAAACGCTCTTCACATTAAACATACATAATTTGCCACTACAGTCCCTGAATACATCTGAATCTCAAAACCCTTTAACTTAATTGCTGGCATAAAAGGCTTTAGGGTCCGGGTGAAATTAATTGATCTTATGGCAATGTGAAACAATATTTCTTAGTTACCTTTCTATACTCACTCACCTTTTGCAATTGGCACAATCCCCTTTAATTTATCCCCAGTGTTGTACGTTTGTAAAACTTCAGGGCAAAATAATCCTATTTGGCACTAACTCCAACGTTCCATGTTGTGTATATACATGTAAATATAATCACTAACCTTCGGGGTGCTTACACCAACAAATATAGAAGCATGATTAGTTGAAGTTGATTTATTTTCTTTAGAACGATTTTTTTTGTAAGCCTCGAAATGTTAAGCTAACTAAGCGAATAAACAAATTTACGTTACATGCAGTACTGGCCAAATATTTGTCGGGACTGGCTTTAGCCCTCGGAGGACTTCACTGCTCAATGAATATTTTCAACCGACTGCTGAACACTGGCCTCAAATGGCCGATGGAACTGTTCGATACAACGCCAATAGGTCGCATTCTGAGTCGCTACTCCAAGGATATCGACACGGTTGACAGTGTGCTTCCAAGCATAGCCGTACAGTTGTTGAACACGTGCTTCGGGGTAAAGATTGACCCTTGACATTTCCACCCTTTGTCCGAGCTTAGATCCTTAGATCCGCCTGAAACCTAATTAAACCTGCAATCTACTAACTTCGAAATATATGCACTCTTATTCAATCTAAAAATTTCATATTAACAAAAGACAAGATTCTTGTAACCTACTTTACACTCACCTTAACCCTTTAACCTTTTCCCCACAAAAAGTTAACAACAACACATAAACCATCCACAATCTAATTAATCAATCAGCTTCAGCAACTAAACATTTTAGCCTTTGATCTACACTTTCATTTACAATTAGCCTTTTCTTTTGGATCGAATCACTCCCTTACCTTATTTAAGATTCATTATTGCTCTGCCCATTTTATCCACAATCCACATATTAATTATAAACCACATTTATTGGATGTGCGAGATGTGTGTGTTGGACAGCCCGAAAAGGGGAACTGAAACCATTTTAGTTTAAGCCCAACCTTAACCAGGGGCTATGGTAAACAAAAAAGAAAACACTCTGAAGATGTACTGGTCTCAGAGCCTCTAACTTTAAGTGTTCTTTATAAGTGGGAGCTGCCTTTACGCTTCGGTTTTATGTGAAATAGATAAAGAATAATGTAGGGAATCGCCTCATTCGGTCAATCCATATCCAATCAAAACCTTTTCTCAATCACTTACCAAGTGCTCGTGGTCGCACCTGTTCCGCTCTTTCACCCTTCCGATTGTCCCAGGTGTGCTAGCGTACTTTGCGGTGGTAATCGTTTACCTCGGCGGCTTTCATGCGGCCCAGACCATCCACAATGAACTGCTGGCCGTCATAATCCGGGGCTCCGTGTGCCGCTTCTTCGATATCACACCGATCGGGCGACTCTTGAACAGTTTTAGCGGCGATATGGATGTGGTCGACGAAGAGTTGCCCGCCACCATGGATTCCTTTATGACCTTTATCTTTATGGTATTTGCATATTTGATTTTCACCAATTTTTTCAGTGTTTTTCTTTTCCCCCTACTGTTATTACTTTGATAACTTTTGATTTGTAGCCTTAAAAGAGTTACGGTTTGTACGTGCAGAACCTTTGTTGTGGCAAGGTTTTGCCCAAAATCTCGTTCATATCTCTAACATTTCAAATATCTCTCTTTATCTCTTATCTCATTTTATCTCTCTGTTCGATTTCTAATGCCCATTAAAACAAGTTAGGTCTTTGCAATTACGGCGCCGCCATAACCCTTTTCACAGCCACCTTACATGCCTCATCCAGAGTGTTCCATCGACTCTTTAACCACATCATGCATTGTCCCTCTGAGTTTTTTGACATCACGCCCAAGGGTCGGATATTGGATCGCTGTTCGAACGATATCAACTGCTTGGACTTGATTATGCCAATTAATATAAGAATGGTCATGAGTACGGCCTTTCAGGTAATCTTTCGTATCCAAAGTTCAAATGAAAATGTTCTATCATTTTTTTTTTAAATCTTGTTAATTCCTTTGATCTAAAATATAACTCAGTATTAATTCTAGCAATCGGCTGCTATAAAAGTTTAAATTTTTTTCTTTTAAATCCAAACGTATTCCACTGATTTTCGTTAAACCGCTAAGTTTTTCCCTAATGTTTTGTCCTTAAAATAAACCATAAACTAACACATAAAATTAGTCTGTCTCCTAACCCTTGTCCTAAACACTGTTCTTGGTCAGTTAAAAATAGATTACAAAGTTTGTGAACCTCTTTGCGTCCAGAATTTATAAGAATATATTCCCTTCGATATTCCAAGTCTTTAGCTATATAGGCAGTGTGGTTATCGTTTACTTGGGTGCCCTGATCGGGACCCGGAAAATATTTGTCCACCTATTTGGCAACATAATGCATGCCCCGCAAGCCTTTTTCGACATAAAGCCCCGGGCACGAATTCTCGATCGTCTGTCGAACGACATTTACAAATTGGATATTGTATTGCCAGAACTAATACGCGTCTTTAACTCGCAAGTGTTTCGGGTACGTTGGCTGTGATTAACCACCAATAAAAGTAATATTTTATAACTAATTGTGACTAACATTATGGTATCAATTGCACTGTACCAATCCCTCAGCCCGTAGCAATTTGAGGCATTCTCCGGCTCTCCACATCCTTAGCCTGTAAATACATAGTTGGATTGACGGGGCGGGCGCATGTTGTACTTTGGTTCCCTTCCAAAACCCCTAACTTAAGATTATTTTTCCTGTGGTTGTCTTCTCTTTTCTTGGCCTGAGTACACAAAAAATATAAAATATTTACTGATAAATTACAGTTTTGAAATCCGAAACATGTTATTAAATTGTTAAAATAAATTTTATTTATTAATATGAACAAAGAAAGTTAAAATATTAACATTTTTAAATTAATCAGTAAATATTTTGTTTGGAGCGTAAGCCAACCCCGAACCCACTTAGGGATTTGGCTGGGCATACTCTATTCTATTTTATCTACTCGCAGAGTGCTTTTAAAGTGCCGAATTCAGCCAAATGATGTGAAATTTAATTCTCCATCCGTACTGAATTGCCCAATCGCAGGTTTCACGTCATTCTTTTCGGATTTGGCTCCGGCGCTGGGCAGTTTGCATGCCGCGAAAGTCCTGCACTCGATGCTCCTCGAGAATGTGCTGAAAGCACCAATGACCATGTTCGATACGACGCCGGTGGGTCGCATCCTGTCCCGATTTTCGAAAGACGTTGAATCGGTTGACCAGAAAATGCCGCAGGTCATTAACGATTGCATTTGGTGTGCTTACGAGGTAATTTTCACAGCACTAGGCACTAGGAATCGTCTTCAAATTGCTACAAAATAACACATTGGAAGTAACCCCAGCGACACTAACCTTGTGCATATCAGAGAACTAACTAGTCCCCGATTAATTGGCGGCGCCTCATTACTCCTCCCTCTCCCATATTTTTTCCTTTCATCAAGTTGAAGCGTTCGATCCAAAAAAGGAGACAAATTCATTACCATATTTCCGTTCATTATATTTTTCCTATTAACCCACGCACCTCCACGCACCTTTGGTCCATTTTCCTACCCTGAATTGCCTTTACTTACATTGCTATTTTGATATTGGCTAGGTTCTGGCTACCATTGTGGTCATTAGTCTGTCCACGCCGATTTTCCTGGCCGTGATCGTGCCCATCGCCTTCCTGTACTACTTCGCCCAGCGCTTTTATGTGGCCACTTCCCGGCAGCTGATGCGTCTGGAATCCGTCTCTCGATCTCCGATCTACTCGCATTTCAGTGAAACTGTGACCGGAGCCTCAACAATTCGCGCCTACAACGTTGGAAATCGGTATTTCACTTTTCTATATTTGTGCAAAACAATTATCTAATTCAATAAACCCCAAACTTTAGCTTCATTGACGAATCCGATGCCAAGGTAGACAAGAACCAGGTGTGCAAGTATCCATCTGTGATCGCCAACCGTTGGCTGGCCATTCGCCTTGAAATGGTGGGCAATCTGATCATCCTGTTCGCCTCGCTCTTCGCCGTGCTGGGCGGTCAGACCAATCCCGGCCTGGTGGGTCTGTCGGTGAGCTACGCCCTGCAGGTGACCCAAACCCTCAACTGGCTGGTGCGCATGACCTCCGACATCGAGACGAACATCGTGTCCGTGGAGCGCATCAAGGAGTACGGCGAGACGAAGCAGGAAGCCGCCTGGGAGCTGGAGCAGGACAAGAACAAGCCCAAGAACTGGCCGCAGGAGGGACGCGTCGAGTTCCAGAACTTCCAGGTGCGCTACCGCGAAGGTCTGGATCTGGTGCTGCGCGGTGTTAGCTTCGACATCAAGGGTGGCGAGAAGGTCGGCATCGTGGGTCGCACGGGCGCTGGAAAATCCAGCCTCACATTGGCTTTGTTCAGGTAAAGAATTTGTTTTTAAGTTGAGAAGATTGAACATTGCTAACCAAAAAAAAAAACATTGATTTCCTTACAGAATCATTGAAGCTGCCGGTGGTCGAATCGCCATCGATGGCGTGGACATTGCCACCATGGGTCTGCACATGTTGCGCTCGCGCCTGACAATCATACCACAGGATCCGGTGCTGTTCTCTGGATCGCTGCGCATCAACCTGGATCCCTTCGAAATCAAAACCGATGACGAGATCTGGAAGGCCCTGGAGCTGTCCCATCTGAAGTCGTTTGTGAAGAGTTTGGCAGCGGGCCTGAATCACGAGATTGCCGAGGGCGGCGAGAATCTGTCGGTGGGTCAGCGGCAGCTGGTTTGTTTGGCTCGTGCTCTGCTGCGAAAGACCAAGGTCCTGGTTCTCGACGAAGCCACCGCAGCTGTGGATCTGGAAACTGATGATTTGATTCAGGTGACTGTCGATTAAATTGCTATTTAACATTCCAAAATAATAATGCGATAATAATGTTGCCTGCCACTTGCAGAAAACAATCCGTACGGAGTTCAAGGAGTGCACTGTGCTGACAATTGCCCATCGTTTGAACACTATTCTGGACTCGGACAAGGTGATCGTGCTGGACAAGGGCCAGATCACGGAGTTCGCCTCGCCCACGGAACTGCTGGACAATCCCAAATCGGCCTTCTACAGCATGGCCAAGGATGCCAACCTAGTTTAAGATCCACGAATGTCAACTTGAAACTCCACGAAACTCAAGCGGAAGAGTGTGTGCCCCCAACAAAAACCCTAGGAATATAGTTGTACGAAAAGAAACTTATTGAGCGGTAGCTTTAAGCCATTTGGCACTGACAACTGGCAGTCGGAAAATGCTCTACCTCAAGGATAGGACAAGCAACTTAGAAACAAAGAAAAGAAAGCAAACAAACAAAGCAAAAGAAACAATAACCAGAAGAAATTAGCAAATACCAACTGAATGTTCATTAGCCTAAGCCAAATTAATCAAGCCAGTTGAGCCTTCGTCGGTTACTCTATGTTCGTTTTTAATATGTATATGTATTTACATAGTCAAGTGTATTTTTCTATTGTCTATTGTACTTAGTTTTCTATGCAAAAACAAAACGATGTAAGAGAAGAAGACCAGAAGTGAGAAGCTCTTAAGTATGTCACATATTTATGTACTTAAAATTAAAATCAACAAAAATGAAAAACCAGAATGATACTTAAACTCACTCAAGAATTGTTTGCCTTCAACTGATAAGATCAGTAATTGAAATGGTCATCGTAGTTAAATATATTGAAACTTTTGTAAAATGTATACTTAAATACTGTAATAAACACAGGGAATGAAGAAGTGTCAATAAATCCCATTGAAACGATGATGTGTTTTCATTTTGTCAATTGGAAAACAATTATCTTCGATCCCCTAAAATATATAAAAAGAAGATTTTACCCGCATTTTTTTCAGTGATAAAATACATTTTGATTTCTGTCCAGGGCAACTTTTTATGATTAAGCTTTTAGTGGAGTGCTTTCCTCTATGGAAAGTTATTTTTTGGTTTGCGCATGGAATACAAATTTCTCCGAAAAAGCTTTCACTTTCTTTTTTTTTTGTTTGTATTTATTTGATATTTATAAGGTCGGAAGTGTCTCCTTTACTGCGTTGCAAACTTCTGAATGAAATTATAATACCCTCTGCAAGTGTTAGATAAATTAAAACCTAAATTTTATTTTTTTTTAATGTAGTAGAACCTTAATGTAAGAGAAAGCAAAAAGTTTTAAACTGCAAGCCCAGTATTCTTACATATTTATCATTATGCTGGTCTAGAACATAAAAGCTTGCTATATGCTATGCTTTGCTAAATTTACAAGTGTATACAAATAAGTAGCTCGTTTAAAATGGATTGACTTATCAAATATATTTTTATTTTTTTGTATACCATATGTAAACATTTCTGTAAATCGATTGCGAATTGCAAGAGACTTGTCTTATTCAATACAAGCACCTGATTTTCTCGTATTCAATTTTTGCTTGGAAGAAGAAGGCTGACATTTTTTGCTCAAAAGAAATGTGAATTCAGATTTTTCAAATTTTTAAGAACTTGCTTTGTTTTAACAATTACCCACGCTAAGTTTAATTATAATTAAAATAATTTTAAGAATTATCTTTCTTGTTCTATAAAAATCAAATACAATGAAATAATGTTTTTGGAAAGGTGTATCTGAGTGTATGGTTCTTAAAGTAGAAACAACTGATGTGTTCGTTTATATAAACCTTAATCATTGAAGTTTTCCTAAAAAATCAAAACAAACCTGCATAAACTGATGGGTGCTTGGATTGAATAGTCTTTAACTTTCGATGCATATAATCAAAAAGCAATAGTGTTTTAGCTCTAAAATCCTTCCAACTTTTTGGTTTTGCTTTTGACAGCTTTAAGCTTTAGTCTCAAATTTAGGCTGACTAATGTGGCAATGGACAGGCCATAAATTATATTTATAAGCCCCGAAAAGCAAACCAAACTGTTTGGGGACAATTTTCAACCACTTATTACCCATCCACCTTGAGATATACGTATTTATTTTAGATATTTGCCGGCAGCCACCCACCGAAAATAGGCATTCCATTTGTCTTTATTTAGCCGCACACACAAAATGGTTGCTTGGAGGCTGCATTTATTGACAATAAACAGGTCATAAATTACGGATTGAACGATCTGTTACTGGGAATGTTTTCTAAATATTCTAAAAAAATACAAAAAACAAAAGTCCTTGGCTAAGCTTTAGTTTGTATTAAGCAGGGCGATGCGAACTTCAAAGTGGAAGTTGCAAGGCCTTTGTTTTCTCTTTCGGTGGGCGGCTGGGGGCGTGCCTGCGGAGTGCACTTGAAAACAAAAAGCGTAAAGTTATTAAAGGTTTTGTGTGCGCTTTGTGTGCCCGCTTTCATGTCACTTACACTTTTGGCCATGTTTCAGAGCCCCTTTTAGCCAGCCCCTTTGCTGGCTTTTATGTGTGCCGTCTGGTCTTTCACTTGGTAATCTTGGCAACGCCTTTTGCATACACGCCGTCGCCGCCGCGGGTTGGGGAGCCCAAAACTTCAAGCGTGCGGCAAATTCAATTTGAAATTTTCAAATGTTTTTCTTATTTTCCAGCATTCAACCCACCCACCCACATCAATGCATATATTTTTTGTTCTTCCACTGTTTGGAAATTACATTTTTTATGAGGGGTGCCCTGGCTCCTGGCTGGAGTGTCAATCCCCGATCCCAGGACATGAATGGGAGGGCGTGGCTCGGGACCGTCCCTTCTCAAACTCCTTTGAAAGTTGCATCGCCTCCCAGAAAAGGAGCCAAATGAATATTTTATTGCCCGCGCATCAGCGGCAGCCGAAAGTGAGTGAAAGATTTTTGATGTATGGCAAGTTGCTAACCAGAAATTGGCCACCCGCCGTGCAACAGCAGGCATAGCAGGTCCTTGAGGCCATGTGCACGGTGGAAGTGGAAGGACTTGTCAACTTAATGCGAAATTTTGTAAACTTATTTTACATAATCCAAAACTTTAATGTTTTAATAACGTGTAATTACTACCGTATTTTAACAAATTCATGGTGTTTCTAAAAGCATGAGTATGGTATTTAAGGTATTTTCTTTTACAAGGACGCAAAGAAGTCAATTACCAACATTAGAATACAATATAACCATCTGAATGTTTTAATTTCATATTTATTTTGTGTGTCTTCTTTTTTTAATTGTTGAATTAATTTAATTAAACAATATGAAAAACATAAGAACTGTAGATCTTTAGAATAACCTTTTCACCCCATTGTTCCTAAAGCAGAAGCATCTTCTATGGCCGCCGTGGGATTGTGCGTGCCGCGTACCTAAACATAAATATATTTCGAGGACTCTGCTCTGGTTCCTGGGGGGCAGTACCTTCTATAGATCGCTTTTCTTACGCATCAAAGGAGCCATTTCGGATGTGCCAAAAGCTCCATGGTTGATGTCGTGCGGCGCTTCATTTTCTATTGCTCTCGAGTTGCTTACTGCATCAAAATGTTGAACAAAAATAAACTCGTATATGAATATTTTTATATTTTATTTTCTGTAATTGAAAGTGTGAGTAAGTGGATTTTTCCCTAGGACGCCAGAGAAAGTCGAGCGAGCGAAAGTGCGTGCCCTTGACTGAGGAAGCTTATTACAAATGTGTGTAAGTTTGGCGAGCACTTACACTTACCACTTGCTGACACTAGAAATTAAAGGGTTTTAAAATAAAGCTTTGTCAGTTACATACGTGTATAACTAAAAATGTTAATTAAACTGATGCTTGGTACAAATCAGTCTAGGACTGAAGCTATGATGGACACCGACTTTCAAACCGCTTTAAAATTTTGAAAATGAGCACACTAATACTAACGAACCAGTATGGAAAAAGCCATACCCTGGTCAATATTTCTCCATTCGACCTAAAATTTAAATATGAAACAAAAACAAAATCAAATACAAATTTAGAAATTGATTATTGTTATCTTTTATATTAATATTGTAAATATTAAAAATGTTTAAGTTGTTGCCAAAAACGAATCCTGTCGAAATTTGGATACAAAATCCAAGCTGGCACTCACAGCCGACTGGCAAAGGGAAAACCGCAAATTATCCAAAAACCGAATCACTGTTGGGCACCAACTCTCAAATGGTTTCATTCGGATTTCATGTCCTGCCTATCATGCAAGACATATGAAAATAGGACCGCGCACTTCCGCTGATGTGACAGCGAGCATACGGATTCTGTAGCATACTTTTTAGCGCCTCCTTCTCTTTCGGCGTCTGTCATTCCTCTTTGTGTTCTTGTGACAGCTTGCTCTCTAGGTGCGAGCTATGCGTGTGTGTGCACTCAAAAAAATTGTGTAAACTCAAGATTCTAGATACTAAATATCAGTAAGTATCAGTAAAGTCAACGCAGCAGAGGAAACGTTTCAAATTTAAATTAAATCAAACTGTTAAATCAAACTGTATGTTTTGGTAGTCACGCTCTTATTAACCAGATAAAAGAAGTATACAAAATGTGTCTGCTCCCCTGATATTTTATCCTGGCTACCCCCGTGCAATGAGGCCGTGCTAAAATTCATTTGTCAAAAGGATTACCATGGTAATAGGGTTTTAAGCATAACCGGCAAACATTCACAGTTTTTTTTGCGTGAGAAATTTTTTTGTGGCTCGCTTGGCTTCGTTTAGGTTTTGTTTTCGGTTTGTTTTGCTTTGTTTGTTTTTTTGGTTTCGGCGGCCACAGGTGGCAGCTAATTAAAAAAGCGGGATTAAGCAATTATGACTGACATTTGTACAACACACATAATCGCACCATACCCAAAACCCCCTGGTCCACACATTTGGCCCACCTTTGGCAAACAGATTTTTGTTGGCGGCAAGCTGCTAATAAATTGACTGCAATCAAAGCTGTCATAAGTTGAGCAGGACAACGCCCACGCAGCCTTGGCCGAAGGACAGATAACTGAGGTCACATATACGGGTCAGAGGCAGGGTTTCATAGGGTTTTGCGAGGCTCATCTCAAATAGTTAAAATATCAGTCGAAATAATAAGATCTTACATACCCACATATACTTTAATTTGCAAATAAATATTTTAATGTATGTCTATGGTTAATATAAAGAGTTATTTATTGTAAATATAAGTTTAAAGATTTTTTTATAATAAAATAAAATAATAAATGATCAATAAATCAATACCATTTCAAAACCTACTTATTGCTTGGTTAAATTTCTGAACAATTCTTAACTAAATTTCGATAGAAATTAAAACTTTAAAGTGGGTTCTTGGTTTAAATAATTTATTCGTCTAAAGTGAATTCTTCTCTTTTAAAGTGAAGTTCCATTTTTTTTAACAAATAATTTATAAGTTCCGCTACCCTATACTCGACCATTAGATACCCCCCGTTAAGGACGCCCCGGGTTTAGCGGGCAACATCCACCCGCAGCCAAATGACAGCTTAATCGCCCAAAAAATCAAGCCAAGCGGAGACATTGTCCTCTCCGAACTCAAGGATTCCTGCTGGCTGCCATGTGTCGCCTGGGCCATCATCTTCGCCGCTGTGGGAAACTAACCCTCCGGAACCCTCCGGAACCCCCCGGAAAAGCGACCTATGTGAGACTCCAACGAGGCGAAAATGTACAAATTGTTGTGATTTATTTTAACAGACTTTTTGTTAACCCAAAAGGAGCGAATGTTAGCAGAAGGAGTGGAAGAAGCATTTGCTACTCTATTGATGAATATGCTGGTGGGTCACTCACATGTGACAGGGCCAGGGCCAGGGACAGGGGCAGGGGCGGCGATGGAAGGGGTTCTAAGGGGGGCGGGGACTGGAGAGCCC